ATTAAGTACCAATTTGGGCATATTAATTCTGAGTCAATTTTTGGCATATTCCAAAGGGGTACCATCACAGATTTTGGGCGATTTATCCGAAATGCCATTTTCTTTCGATTCTGGAGGCTACATATAACGGAATCAGACCGAGGCTATTCTCCACCTATAATGAATTCTATTGATCCTATTCTCCACGGATGATAAGTCCATTAAGCACCGATTTGGGCCAATTTATGTTCAGATTGCATTTTTCATAATTTTTTGGGCGACGAAAGGCCATTTTGTATGGATATTGAAGGCTACAGATCACGGATTCGGCCTGAGGCTATTCTCCAACGATGATTGAGTCCATTAGGCACCGATTTGGGCAGATTTATTCCGGGTCAATTTTTGGCATTTTCTTTCGATTCTATTCATTTTTTGGTGGCATTATCGTAATCTTTTGGGAGACGAAAGGCCATTTTCTTTCGATATTGCAGGCTACATATCACGGTTTCGACCTGAGGCTATTCTCCAACGATGATTGAGTCCATTAAGCACCGATTTGGACAGATTTATTCCGGGTCAATATTTGGCATATTCCAAAGGGGTACCATCACAAATTTCGGGCAATTTATCCGAAATGCCATTTTTTCGATTCTGGAGGCTAGATATCACGGAATCAGGCCGAGGATATTCTCCACCGATAATGAATTCTATTGATCCAATTCTCCACGGATGATAAATCCATTAAGCACCAATTTGGACCAATTTATGTTCAGATTGCATTTTTGTAATTTTTTGGGCGACGAAAGGCTATTTTATTTGGATATTGAAGGCTACAGATCACGGATTCGCCCTGAGGCTATTCTCCAATAATGATTGAGTCCATTAAGTACAGATTTGTGCGGATTTATTCCGGGTCAATTTTTGGCATATTCCAATGGGGTACCATCACAGATTTTGGGTGATTTATACGAAATGAATTTTCTCTCGATTCTGGAGGCTACATATCACGAAATCAGGCCGAGGCTATTCTCCACCGATAATGAATTCTATTGATCCTATTCTCCACGGATGATAAGTCCATTAAGCACCGAATCGGGCCAATTTATGTTCGGATTGCATTTTCGTAATTTTTTTGGCGACAAAAGGCCATTTTCTTTGGATAATGAAGGCTACAGATCACGGATTCGGCCTGAGGCTATTCTCCAACGATGATTGAGTCCATTAAGCACCGATTTGGGCAGATTTATTCAGGGTCAATTTTTGGCATATTCCAAAGGGGTACCATCACAGATTTCGGGCGATTTATCCGAAATGCCATTTTCTTTCGATTCTGGAGGCTACAGATCACGGAATCAGACTAGGCTATTCTCCACCGATAATGAAGTCTATTGATCCTATTCTCCGCGGATGATAAGTCCATTAAGCACCGATTTGGGCCAATATATTTTCGGATGGCATTTCGTAATTTTTTGGGCGACGAAAGTCCATTTTCTTTGGATATTGAAGGCTACATATCACGGATTCAGCCTGAGGCTATTCTCCAACGATGATTGAGTCCATTAAGCACCAATTTGGGCGGATTTATTCCGGGTCAATTTTTGACAGATTCCAAAGGGGTACCATCACAGATTTCGGGCGATTTACCCGAAATGTCATTTTCTTTCGATTCTTGGGGCTACAGATCACGGAATCAGGCCGAGGCTATTCTCCACCGATAATGAAGTCTATTGATCCTATTCTCCACGGTTGATAAGTCCATTAAGCACCGATTTGTAGAAATATATTTTCCGATGGCATTTTCGTAATTTTTTGGGCGATGAAAGGTCATTTTCTTTGGATATTGAAGGCTATAGATCACGGATTCGTCTTGAGGCTATTCTCCAACGATGATTGAATCCATTAAGCATAGATTTGGGCGGACTTATTTCGGGTCAATTTTTGGCAGATTCCAAAGGGGTAACATCACAAATTTCGGGCGATTTATCCGAAATGTCATTTTCTATCGATTCTGGAGGCTACAGATCACGGAATCAGGCCAAGGGTATTCTCCAAGGATGATAAGTCCATTAAGCACTCATTTGTGCCAATTTATTTTCGGATAGCATTTTCATAATTTTTTTGTCGACTAAAGGCCATTTTCTTTGGATATTAAAGGCTACAGATCACGAATTCGGCTTGAGGCTATTCTCCAACGATGATTGAGTCCATTAAGCATCGATTGGGGCAGATTTATTCCGGGTCAATTTTGGGCAGATTCCAAAGGGGTACCATCACAGATTTCGGGTAATTTATCTAAAATGTCATTTTCTTTCGATTCTGGAGGCTACACAACACTGAATCATGCCGAGGCTATTCTCCACCGATAATGAAGTCTATTGATCTTATTCTCCATGGATGATAAGTCCATTAAGCACTAATTTGGGCCAATATATTTTCGCATGGCATTTTGGTAATTTTTTGGCCGATGAAATGCCATTTTCTTTGGATATTGAAGGCTACAGATCACGGATTCGGCCTGAGGCTATTCTCCAACGATGATTTAGTCCATTAAGCACCGATTTGGGTGGATTTATTCCGGATCAATTTTTGGCAGATTCCAAAGGGGTACCATCACAGATTTCGGGCGATTTATCCGAAATGCAATTTTCTTTCGATTATGGAGGTTACATATCACGAAATTCGGCCTGAGGCTATTCTCCAACGACGATTTGGTCCATTAAGCACCGATTTGGGTGGATTTATTCCGGGTGAATTTTTGACAGATTTCGTGCGATCTATCCGAAATGCCATTTTCTTTCGATTCTGGAGGCTACAGATCACGAAATTAGGCCGAAGCTATTCTCCACCTATATTGAAGTCTATTGATCCTATTCTCCATGGATGATAAGTCCATTAAGCACCGATTTGGGCCAATATATTTTCAGATGACATTTTCGTAATTTTTTGGGCGATGAAAGGCCATTTTCTTTGGATATTGAAGGCTACAGATCACGGATTCAGCCCGAGGCTATTCTCCAATGATGATTTAGTCCATTAAGCACCGATTTGGGCCGATTTATTCCGCGTCAATTTTTGGCACAGATTTCGGGCGATTTATCTGAAATGCCATTTTCTATCGATTTTGGAGGCTACAGATCACGGAATCTGGCCAAGTCTATTATCCACCGATAATGAAGTCTATTGATCCTATTCTCAATGGATGATAAGTCCATTAAGCACCGATTTGGGCCAATATATTTTCGGATGGCATTTTCGTAATTTTTTGGGAGACGAAAGGCCATTTTCTTTGATATTGAAGGCTACATATCACGTATTCGGCCTGAGGCTATATTCCAACGATGATTTAGTCCATTAAGTACCGATTTGGGTGGATTTATTCTGGGTCAATTTTTGACAGATTCCAAAGGGGTACCATCACAGATTTCGGGCAATTTATCCGAAATATCATTTTTTTCTATTCTGGGGGCTACAGATCACGGAATCAGGACGAGGCTATTCTCCACCAATAATGAAGTCTATTGATCCTATTCTCCACGGATAATAAGTCCATTAAGCACCCATTTGGGCCAATTTAATTTCGGATAACATTTTCGTAATTTTTTGGGCGACGAAAGGCCATTTTCTTTGGATATTGAAGGCTACAGATCACGGATTCGGCCTGAGGCTATTCTCCAACGATGATTGAGTCCATTAAGCACCGATTTTGGCGGATTTATTACGGGTGAATTTTTGGAATATTCCAAAGGTGTACATCACAGATTTCGGGCGATTTATCTGAAATGCCATTTTCTTTCTATTCTGGGGGCTACAGAACACAGAATCAGGCCGAGGCTATTCTCCACCGATAATGAAGTCTATTGATCGTATTCTCCACGGATGATAAGTCCATTAAGCACCGATTTGGGCCAATATATTTTTGGATGACATTTTCGTAATTTTTTGGGCAATGAAAGGCCATTTTCTTTGGATATTGAAGGCTACAGATCACGGATTCGGCCTGAGGCTATTCTCCAACTATGATTTAGTCCATTAAGCACCGATTTGGGTGGATTTATTCCGGGTCAAATTTTGGCAGATTCCAAACGGGGTACCATCACAGATTTCGGGCGATTTATCCGAAATGCCATTTTCTTTCGATTTTGGAGGCTAAAGATCACGAAATCAGGCCGAGGCTTTCTCCACCGATATTGAAGTCTATTGATCCTATTCTCCACGGATGATAAATCCATTAAGCACCCATTTGGGCCAATTTATTTTCGAGTGACATTTTCGTAATTTTTTGGACGACGAAAGGCCATTTTCTTTGGATATAGAAGGCTACATATCACGGTTTCGGCTTGAGGCTATTATCCAACGATGATTGAGTCCATTAAGCACCGATTTGGGAGGATTTATCCCGGTCATTTTTTGGCAGATTCCAAAGGGGTACCATCACAAATTTCGGGCGATTTATCTGAAATGCCATTTTCTTTCGATTCTGTAGGCTACATATCACGAAATCAGCCCGAGGCTATTCTCCATCGATAATGAAGTCTATTGATGCTATTCTCCACGGATGATAAGTCCATTAAGACCCCATTTGATCCTATTCTCCACGGCCTGAGGTTATTCTCCAACGATGATTGAGTCCATTAAGCACCGATTTGAGCGGATTTATTCCGGGTCAATTTTGACAGATTCCAAACTTTTGGCTAATCTTTTTTAATATTCTTGTTAACCAATTTTGAAGGCTATACATTTTGTAATAATAGTCTAAAATCTGTGATGAATATCATTCGAAAAAGGCCACATAACCATTACATAGCCAATGTTTTCATCGATTTTTGAATGCTATTATAAATGTATCTTGAGAGGGATTCCCACGATAATGAATATTCAGAGAATCGTGTTTTGGATTCGGAGAAAATGCGTGATACTTATCATGGCCTGTTGCGTTCTAGCCTCCTACTAAGGTAAATAAGTTCATTCATCTTGAGAATGAAGAAGCCAAGTAACTGTGCGGTATGAAAGGATGATTGATTACGACCAGTATGAAAAAATGAAACACTAACTGTGTACTTAAACTGATTGATCAAGCTATTAATTTTGCCTCTTTTGGTAATCAGGTCACCCTGAAAAGAATCAGTTGCAGAACACAAGGGTTTGGGAGTAATCATTGTTTGTCAAATGGTAGGTAATCAGTAATTACCTAAGAACCATATAATCAGCTTTTCTCCTAATCATTCATCAAAGAAGCTACAAACTATGCCACTAACTAATCTCACTGTTTAGTGAAATCACTGGAGCAGGCTATGTCAGCAGCTACCTGCATTGGCTTTGTTAAGGGAACGTTAGGACCTAACAGTTCCTTCACGACATCTCTCATTGTGGGTCTCTTGTTGGGCTCTTTCTCTGTGCATCTCAAGGCGACCATGATCACTCTCTCAATTCGTTCCATCGCGCTTGAATCGAGGAACAGTTCTTGATCTGCATCAGCAAGCCTGGGATCAGCTATGGACTTCACGTCTTGATCAGGGTCGGCATCCCAAGTGGATCGAACCCACGTCACTATGTCGATTCCTTCTGGAAATGACCGGTCGACTGCCTTCTTCCCTGTGATCAGCTCGAGCAGCACGACCCCGTAGCTGTAAACATCTGATGCCTTGCTCTTGCTTGTTGCAAATGCCATCTCTGTACATGAATAGCAACACACAAATAAAGTAGAGGTGTCAGATGGAGATGTTGATTCTGGTTCGAGCTGGGTCATTCGATTGTGGGTGGAAGGATTGCCGAGTCATTGATCAACATGCATTGTATGGTATATAGCAGGAGAGTCGAGTGGGAGAAAAGTTTATTTTACCTGGAGCTATGTATCCAACGGTTCCATCAACCATCATCGACTGAGTTGAGCTGCCAGAAGACTGGTCGAGGAGCTTCGCTATGCCGAAATCAGAGATGTGAGGCTCCATGTCAGAATCCAGCAGAATATTCTGTGGCTTGATATCACAGTGTACTATCGGAGGGTTGCAGTCATAGTGCAGATACTCCAAAGCATGAGCAGTTCCAAGAGCTATCCTAAACCTCACATCCCATTCTATAGTTTCTTCAAAGTTGCCATGAAGAACATCATAGAGGCTTCCATTCTCCATATAACTGTAGAGAAGCAGCCCATATTCCTTCCTCAACCAGAAATCTTCTAGCTTGATGAGATTCCTATGCCGAATCTTCCCAATCGTCTTGATCTCTCTCATCATGCTCCTGCTCCCGGCTCTTTGGCCTGCAAAGTTCACTTTCTTCACAGCAAAGATCTCACCATCTTCCATTGGAACTTTGTACACAGTTCCATGACCTCCCCTTCCTATAACGTGCTTCTCATTCAGATCCTCAGTAGCTTCCATCACCTTGTTGAGAAGCGACGGTGGGCCCTCCAGCCCGGCAGCAACAATCTCATGGCACCTCTTGGGTCTCCACACAATGATCAAACAGCACAGTCCTAGAAGCGAAAGAACAACAATTATTGTGGCAAGTGATATGGCTGCAACTTCCAATATGCTATGCCCTCTCTTCTTGCTTTGACATGGCTTGATACCAGTGTTCGAAGTGCAAACCCCGTCAGTCTGGTTTCGATGGCAATCGATGCATAGACTCGGGTTGCCCAAGAATGCAGATGGAGATGAGATGAGGAAACGATATAAAGTCTCGGGTATTGGACCTGTGAGTAGATTGTATGAGACATTGATGAGGAGGAGAGTTCGGATGTTTTCCAAAGGTTCTAAAGAACCTGTTAGCTTGTTGTTTGCTATGTCCAGCTGTTCCAGCATGTTCAGCTTTCCTAATGACAAAGGAATCAAACCAGTTAACCCGTTGCTGCTGAGATTCAGTCCATACCGAAGACTCTGCAGAGATCCAAGGGAGGAAGGAATCTCTCCTCCTAAGGAATTTCCACCAAGGTCCAACTCTTCAAGCTCCCCAAGGCTTGATAAGAATGATGGAATCCCTCCGGTGAAACGGTTCTCACTCAGTACCAATGTTGCTAGTTTTGTCCAGTTTCTGAAACCAGTTGGAATAGAACCAGTTAGTGAGTTGAAGCCTACATCAAGCTTCTCCAACTGGTAACAATTTGATAGCTCAGATGGTAATGAACCTTCCAACTGGTTGTCTGAAAGATCCAGAGTGTCAAGCTTAACGAGATCTCCAATCTCCCTGGGGATGGATCCTGTGAGCTTGTTCATGGAAAGATTGAGAAATGTAAGGTTTCCACAGTGCTTTAGACTCCAAGGAAGAGACCCATTGATGTCATTTCTGCTGATATCCACACGTGAGAGGCTCGAGTTTTCTGCAAATTCCGGAAGAGGACCCGAGAGATGGTTCTCACTAAGGATCATTCTCCACAAAGTTGAGCACTGCCCAACATCAGAAGGGACACTGCCCTTGAGCTGATTCTTACCCATGTTGAGAACTCTGAGCTGCTTTCCAAAGCAAAGATTCGGCGGAATTTCACCAGTGAACTGATTACTTGTAAAGTCCAGCTGCAACAAGCTACTGTTGATCCCCAAACTCTGTGGTATCACACCAGAGAACTGATTCTCATACAAAGACAAGTTCTTCAGTTGCTTGAGCTCAGTCATCTCAACAGGTAGTTCACCATAAAGACGGTTCTGATACACTAGAAGGAACTCAAGGCTCGGATTTTTCCAAATGGTGATGGGAATCTCACCACTCAGATTGTTGTTGAACAGTTCAAGGTCACGCAACTGAGGAAGCAAGCCAATCTCGCCCGGTATCCCTCCCTCAAGCTTGTTTGAGTAAAGCTTCAAGCTTGTCAATAACTTGCAGTTCCCCAGCTCAGGAGGAATCTTTCCATACAGCTGATTTTCGGAAAGATCAAGAGAGGACAGATTCTCCAGAAGGCCCAGTGATGAAGGAATGTTGCCTGTCAAATTACTATGAACAATAGCCAGGGTGTTCAAGCTGCTACAGTTACCTAAATCCTCTGGGATCCCACCACTAAACGGATTGTAAGATAAGTCCAAAAAGCTCAGACTCTTCAAATTTCCAAACCCTGAAGGAATTCTACCCTCTAAACTATTATGAGAAACATATAAGTTAACAAGTTCTCTAAGACTACCTAAGCTCCCAGGCAAGGAACCAGTTAACTGGTTATCTTGCAAATAAAGAGTCTGCAACTTTCTGCAATTCCCAATAGAATCAGGAATCGAACCAGTAAACGAATTGCCATACAACCAAAGCTCAACAATCTCATTCAACTCACCAACACTCCCCGGAACCGAACCATTGAACGCATTCTCGTGCAGATACCCATATTGCAGCAGAGGCGTATTCTGGAACAAGGACTCGGGAATCTCACCACTCAGCGAGTTGGTGAACAAGCTCAAGGTTTTCACCCTCCTCAAGTTACGGAAGCTTCCAGGGATTCTGCCGGTAAACCCATTGTTCGACAAATCGAGATACTCCAGGCCGGCACAGTTTCCCAGGAGCCAGGGGATTTCGCCGGAGAAGTTGTTGTAGCTCAAATCAAGAGTGGCCAGCCGAGAAAGCCCTCCAATTTCCGGGCCCAACTCGCCGGAAATCGAGTAGCCGGTGAGGTTGAGGGAGACCACACGGCGAGTGAAATTGTGGCATTCGACGCCGACCCACGAACATGGAGTTTGGTCCGAAGCATTCCATGAGGAAACAACGGGTCGAGGAACGGAAGAGGCTTCCCACCTGTTAAACAGCGATAAAAGAGCCAACCCATCGTAGCTCAAACAGGAAACGAGACTTCCAGTGAAAACCCAGAAGCAGAGCAGCATCAACAAGCAAGTAGAGGCGGGAGAATTCAACTCAAGCGCCATAATTGAGATGAAAATTTTGTGGGTAACTTAATTTTACGTTTTTACCCAGTTGGGTTGGCCATGGAATGCAGTGGAGGAGAGGAGTGAAAGAGAGAGAGAGAGGGAATGGGGAAGAAGAAGAAGATGTGGTGGTTGTGAGAATGTGAGGAGGCATAAATGCATGGGGACGGGAGATTTGCAGGGAAAAAAGAGAAGGTGGTGCGGTCGTCTCACTGGGAGACTGGATTATCCGGTGGGTGGGAACCAATTAGCAAAGCAACTGAGTCGGTTTCTTTCCGTGTGAAACGTTGAACAGTTTCCTCTCAGCCCCCATTTTTGGTTTCACATTCAAACTTTCCGGCCAGTTTCCTGCCAAATTGCCACGTTGTCCCTCTCCCTCCTTACAGAAAAGAAAACTGAAGTTTACCGTGTAAATTCAGTCAGAAACGTTTTTCTGAACACCTGAAAAATTCACTCTCACTCTCAGTAACAGGGATCAACACCTCGCAGCGAGTAATCGATAATTGATAAAAAAAAAATTTAACGATTTGTATTGCAGACGTCAAGAAAACAATTATACCAGTGAGTAGTGACTCAGTTTTCGATATACATGTATCAACATTTTTTCGGTTAAGCTATTCGCGTAAAGGTACGAATTTTGGTCCGGTGTTAAATAGGGTAATATTAAACTTAAATTAGAACATAAAGTGGTGAGATTATGGTGGGTGGTGGGGGGTTGGCTAATGGTCATTATCATGGGGGATTAACAAACTAACTACCTTTTTTGCTTTAAATGGTTATGGATGGAGATTGGAGGGTACCAAAATACAAATTAAATTTGTCATTTTCCCCAAAGTCAATTTTCTCATTTATGAAAGTGTTAATGCATTCATCAGTACCTAATTTTGCGAGTTATTGTATAAAAGGGAAAAGGGTTAAATAAGCAAACTTTCTACAATTAATTTCTTTTTGAGATTTCCTGATTAATGGAGACAGGCAAGGCAACTATGGGTAGTCATTGTCTCACCAATTATATTTTCAGTTCAAATTTAGGGAGGAAGTGGGAATGGGAAGTTAAAAAGGTGATTGGCATCCACTAATTACCGTCATTTTTACAGTTGCTGATTACAGCTAATTCGCCCACTATTTTTTTTCCATACGATCACTGCTACATAATTCATCCACTAATTGATGTGGGTAGCAGAAAGTCCCGATTAGTATGCAGTACCTCCAGTGGTTTAGTAGGCCCCGCTGTCGCTCAAGCAGTACGTGAGACAGAAGTTCCCTGAATTATCAAATAAAAAATAGATTTTATAGTAGAATAATGGGCTGGGCTCTGTTAATATGTACCGTCAACCTTGTTTATGGGGCTAATCATCTTTATGGGCTGAATGGGCCTTGTTTGGAGATGGAACCTTACGAAATTCGTGGAACTCTATGCTGGGCTGCTGACTCTGGGCCTACAACTGATTATAAGGATGTAAAATGACAAAATTATTATAAAGTAATTTATTGGTAGACATCATTCATAAAGGATACATTATTATTCAGTGACAAACCTTCAAATCAACCAAATAAAAACAATTACATTAAAGCATAAACAAAATAAAAGAACACACATAACTGAATTTGATCCTTCTTTTTTTTTTTTACCCTCGTCCTCAAGGGGTTTGAGTTGACTTAATTCCAACTTGATTCTCATAATTATCATCCGTCATTCCGTTTCTTGAGTCTCGTAAATATCAACCTGACCATCAGGTATAAGGAAGCAAGTGTAACCCGACGTCATCAAATTTGACGTAACGGTATGAACGATTGAGATGAGGAGTAGACATAATCCAACAAACATCAATCGATCAAATCTCTTGTCAGGATGTAATGAACACAATCACCATATGTCATCATCATTATATCCGTTGCTCGCCACCAAATACCCCGAAATCTCCGTAGCCGATGACAACCCATCAGAATCAGACACGTGTCGGCGATCTGCGAGCCTCCACATGAGGTGACTGGTCGCGACGTCGTGGGACCCGGCCCGGGACTTGTGGGTCCCCTTGGCCTTGTCCTTGGACTTGCCACAAGGGTGGATGTGGCACTCGTTGCACCGTGGCACCCTACATTTGCCGGTGAACTTGGAGTGGTTGGTGGGCTTGCGGGAGACCTTGGTGAAGACCCCGGCGGTGGGCGGCGGCGGTGAGCCGTCGACGGCGGCGGAGGCGCTGTTGGGCCCGGGATTCATCGGAGATGGCATGATCGGATAAGTTCGCACCATCCCATGTTGCCGGCCTTCTCTCTTCATCTTGTTTTCACCACTTTTTGAGCTGAAGAAGATTTGGTTTGGTTGATTGATCGGTTGGAGAGATTCTATTTATGAGGGAAACGAGATCAAGGCCGAAACTTGGGAAGCAAGGTGGGGTTTCTTATTTTAATTAATTTGGTTATGGCTTGGCTCCCACGGAATATCATTATTGGCTTTAATTTTTTATCAATATTATTGCCCACTCATAATACCAATAATAGTGTATAATTTCTTATTTCCCCCGCCAGAGTCAACATATGAACTCGTAATTAACAGCAAATTAGATTCCATAACAGGGAAACTTCTAATTAATTTCCTAGTTGTGATTTGTGACCGATTCTTAACACGGTTTAGTGTAGTAGGATAGGCATGCAGAAACGGGCTTGGTGGGCCTGTCTTAGTTGGACTATAGATGGGTTGTGGCCTTGTGGGCTTTTACTATCCATTTACGGATTTGAGCCCACCATTGCCTTTTTTTTTCTTGACGACAATTTTAACTTGACTTGCTCTATCTATTTGACTTATTATGATTTTTTTTTAGGCAAATAACAGATGTCTTGTGGATAGGATCGACATGAAATCATTCTTATACCCCGCTCGTACTTGACCTTTTTTCATACGATAATGTATCTAACTTAACTTTTATACGATATCTGGTTAGATTACTTGTACTTTAAGCCTCAATACGGCATACTATAATATCAATGTAATTTGTTATACAGTAATCAATATGAAATTTGCATGAAGAGAACATTAGGGTAAGAATCATATCACACTCGTCACACAGACGAAAATTATGTTATGGAGATCAGAATTATACCCGATTTATCATGAAGTTACATATGGGAAGCAAGCAAAGCTACTCTCGTGAAGATAGACATTAAAGCATTGAGCAAACCAATACAAGCATGCACCGGCCGGCGACAGAAACCAAATTCAATGCCCTTCATTAAAATCCCACCATAAAAAGACTTCCCTATTTAAAAACCCTACTTCAAGTCTTCTACCCAACTTCAGAGCTTTCTCCTCTTGTGTTTCCAATGATGAACAGAACGGTGCCGCTGCGGCGGCGGATGATGACGATTGCGGTGGCGTTTATCATCATGATGCAGCTGGTGGCTCCCACATCTCCGACGTGCCATCCCTCTCCGCCGTCCCACCGCCGGCCGAGCCCCAGTCCCCACCGCGGCGGCGGCAGCGGGTGCAAGCAGTGCGTGGTTGAGCAGCTTCAGTACGGGTGCCCGAAGTGCACTCCGGTCCTCCGCTGCATGGCGCGGTGCTTGTGGGGCGGCGCCGCCAAGTCCAGGTGCGCCGAGAAGTGCGACTGCGGCGGCGGGAAGCCGACCCTGGCGGACTGCAGAGGTTGCATGTCTAGGTGCAAATGCAGCTGTTTGTGAATTTTGTAATCGTCAATTCGTCATCATTAGCTTGTCTGGCTGGTTTATGATTAGTGTTGTTGATTATCGTTACTAATTAGTAAATTAATGAGTTTGCTATGATGTTCTTATTTGTTCTAGTATATGGCTAATGTTTGAATTTTGGTTAATGAAAAGTTGTTGATCGCTGTCTCAATTTCATTTTTCCTCTTTGCTTTACTTTACTTTATATGGGGATAAATGCATTATAATCACTGAATTTTGTATTGTGCAATGAATGATCACTAAATTAAAACTTGTCACAAAATGCTGGTTAGACTAGGAAATTTTTAACATAAACATCTCTTTTAGCACTCCGTTCAATTTAAGAATGGGTTAGCTCTTGATATTATGTACCTATTCGTAGTTGGTTCAACGAAATGATGTTATCACTAAAGTTATTAACGAATCTAATGTTACGACATAACGAGTCTATTGAACACGTCAACTCAAAACGGTGTTACCACTAACCGAGCTGCCTTTGGTACGTATTGTAATGTAATCGTAGGTTAAAGAAAACAAACTAACCTTCACATCGTTTATGTAAAGTTGTAAACATAACTTATCCAACTCACATGAACAAACAGTAATTAGCTATGGCGCCGAGCTCAAATCACTCCCGCAAAAACCGCTGGAAGCATCTGAAGCCGAGGTACTCAGCGCAGAACTTCTCCATCTCCTCGCCGCCTCTCTCCCTACACACTCGCTCCTCCATCTCCGCCACCGTTCGGTCCCACCCGAACTCTCCTCCGCCGCCGTCCCAGTCCCAATCCTCGACTCTCGATTCGCAGATCCCGTCGAGCACCTCCTGGATCCCGACGATCCACCTGCTCGCCTTCCTCCTCGCCTCCCTCACCGCCGGATCGAACCCGGGGACGGCGTCCAGCCTCAGCAGCAGCCGCATCAGCTCCTCGTTCACCCTCGCCTTCTCCCTCTCCTCCCTCCTCACCGCGTCCACCGTCTCCTGCCGCTGGATCCGCCGCTCGATCTCCCCTGCCGCGGCGTCCACGGCCGAGATGGTGCGGTAGAGCAGGCGGATTGCGCGGGCGCGGTACGCCGCCTGGATTTTGGTCGCAGCGGCGGAGGCGGATCTGGTGTCGTTGGATGGTGGTTTGGTGGAGTGGATGGGAATTTGCTTGGTCAACGGCGGTGGCGGTTGGGTGGCTTCATCGTGGAAGGCGTAGGTGACGGTGGATGTTGTTGAAGAGGAGAAGTGGTAGAATTCTGGGAATCCTCTCATGGCGAGAGAGGAAAGCTTGAAGATAGGGACAGAGGAGGGGAAATGGACAGTTGGTGATGGAAAATTGAGGAAATGGTCACTATTGATTTTGATTTATGAGTATCTTTCTAGAAAGATTATGGCCGGGGCCTACGTCATTTCATTCAATTGCTTTTGGTTCTTTGGAACTTTTCTACACTAGTTAGTGGACGATAATGGAGTTTGTAAGTGTATGATTTTCAGGATACAGCCTGTCAGTCATTAGTCCAACAGTCTACGCTATCGTAATAATGTAGACTGTTTGTCGAACATGTCACTCATGTTTAGACTAACAATTGTAATAATCGACATTTTTCGAACATGTCATCACAGTAAAAATCGACGTTTGTCGAACATGTGACTCATATTTAGACTAACTATCGTAATAATGGCTCTGCTCATTTTCGTCGTAGTGATAATTACCAAGAGATAACACACTGATTTGGATGTTTTACAGGTAGAATCGAACGAACGAAGACAGAGTGATTGCTATATCAGTTAGTCCATACTTGGGTGGTAAATGGTAATTATGTTAATGGAACTTTAGTGATATGGTATTAAAAACTGAAAGTTAATGGGTTAATCTAGCACTTACCCTAAAGTTTTATGATAATTTATGTAATTATCCTCTCACGTTGTTTTGTTCTCTGACCGATTTCACCCTTTACAGGTTGCTGACCTGACATACCACTGAGAAAATTATACCGTTCCCCCCGACAAGTCCCGTTATTTACTTTAGAGACCTTTATCCACGACGAGTTATCATGTGGACAAAGCGTGAAATGGCACAGTTTTGGTCCGACCCTTTACAACACTAATAACATGGCTGATTCTGAAACTAAACAACATAACAAAGCTCTTATTTGGCGATAGATGATGATCCAGAAGCTCTCTCTCACTCGCACTGGAGATGAAGTTCACCAGCTCTTTAGGATGAGTTCGACGGGAGAATTTTCCCAGTACAAGTCCCGAAACCGACAGTGTAACCATCTCCCTGCACAGAACTAGCCAGTTAACGTTTACAGACCAAAGAGAGACGAGAACAGAGAAGATGTACATAATGGGAAAGAGCTGCAGTGGAGACCTTGCAGCAGCCGGTTATCGTCACTTCATCGCCATCTTCGAGGAACTTTCGTGTTGTGTTGCTGTTTAGTGGCAATGGTTTCTGTCCGTTCCATGTCAGTTCTAGTAAGCACCCGTAGGAATCCGGATCCTGTTAATGGTGGTTATAGATCAGAACAGAATCGACTTGCCTACGGTTTTTTCTGGAGTTGAAAAGAGCAAAATGAATGAGAAGAAAATCGTTACCGGCCCACTGATTGTTCCTGTTCCGAGTAGGTCACCTGGTCGTAAGTTGCAGCCGTTTATTGTATGGTGAGCTAGCTGCTGAGTTATGGTCCAGTATCTGTCACAGAACAGTTTCATCAGTCATCAAATCAAAATATGACATAAGAGTATGGTGCTCGTGCACTTGATATAATTGATGAAGATAGAAACTTTATACACAAGCTTATGAAAGTCATTCGAGAGCAGTGAAAAGCCATACAAGTGATTGAAGTTGGTTCTGGTGACCACAGCTGACTCCTCAACTCCAGCCGGTTTAATTTGCACCTTGAAGATATGAATAGATAAACAATCATTAATATACGAATGGATCGGAATGTTCAAAAAGAAGAAAACTATCTACAGACTACAGGAGACCAGAAGAGCTAAGTTATTGCATTAAAATGCCCAATATGTTCCACCTCTAAGGAAATGTTGTAGTTTTTGGATGACTTTTCAGCCAGATACGGAAGAGGAGGAGGGTCCTGCAATTTTTTTTATCATAAGAACACAATGAGAATAAGCAAAAATATGGGAGAACTTGGAAACTTAATATACTACTACTTGGAATTGTCATTGGGGCTACCTGTTTAGGGGCATCACAAGTAAAAGGCTCTAAGGCATCAAGTGTTACAATCCAGGGGGATAGTGTAGTAACTATGGATCAAAGACAAGTCGATAAGACCGAAAAGAGAAGTTAGCCTCTCTCTATGTACTTCCAGGTGAGTCTCGGAATGCAAGAAATATAAAGTTAGTTTCTTACTGAAGCTCTTCCCAAGGAAAGGTCCAAGAGGCACATACTCCCATGCTTGAATGTCTCTAGCTGATCAAGATAAACATTTGTTATGGGTTTATTGCATCAACACAAGGCACAGACATTGGATAAAGGGATAATCTATGATAAGAATATACCACTCCAATCATTCATCAATACGAGCCCGAAAATATGATCTCCTGCTTCATTAACATCCACTGGTTTCCCTAGCTCATTTCCAGTACCAACGACAGCAGCCTGAAAGGAATGCGAAGAAGTTTGTGAACAACAGACAAATCAGTTACAGAATGATCATTCTTGAAATGCTAACCATTTCTAACTCAAAATCGAGCTTCCGTGAAGGTCCAAAATATGGTGGGGGGCTTCCAGTTGGTGGTCCCTGACCTCTGAAGGAAAAAGATGAAGCAGTTAAGGATCTAGAAATGCTCAAGCATGCACAATGAGAATAGCTCAATAGTCTGGGAGATGCATAATGGCTTCTGATGAGTTCAAACAAATACGATTGTGAAGCTAAATGAAAGACACATGAAGCAACCAAGTTAGCTTACCTAGGCCGAATGACATCTGTTCCAGAGATAACAATAGACGAAGCCCTACCATGGTATGCAATCGGAAGATGGAACCTAGAAGAGAAATGGCATTACTGTGTAGAACTGAATTCACGAGCCACGCAAGGAACCCAGTAGGATCTTAAACAACTCTAAAGTGGACATACCAGTTCAGATTGATCGGATTCTCAGGTCCACGAAAGATGGTTCCGCAATTCTTTGCATGATGCATCGAGGAAAAGAAGTCCGAGTAGTCCCCTATCACAATCGGTAGAAGCATCTCTACCTCACTCTACAAGTTGAGAATCCACAAATCCATGTTAAATGAATCATCCATGTCATTGTACCAAAACTAATATCTTATTCACAGTAGTTCTAGTTATATCACCATTGGCAGGAGTGACTTCTCCCTCAAACTGGCATCATCTCTCAACTTCGGTTCAGTAGCTGCAATGCAAGAAAACAACCGAATGTCTTCATGAGAACAGTTCAGAAAAACAGAATCAATGAAGTTTTTTGGATGCCAAAAATTCAATTAAGTTGCCCACTGTACATGATAATAGCTTCTGAAGCGTAGCTCGAGCTTCCTTCCACGCAGGCCTTCCCAAGGATAAGAACTTGTTCAAGTTAGGCTGCCAAACAAACAATCCGGAAGATAATTAGCGCGCGCTACTTTCTAGTTCGACTAATTTTCTTTTCCCAGCAACCAAACACCCTGCCACACAGCTCAATCATTTCACTCGGAAGAGATTCTTCATTCTTCCACCGCAGCAATCAACTAAGAAATCAGAGACTGAAGCAGAGCGAGAGGGCGATAGAATCATAAGAACCTGAAGGAAGCAATCGGAGGAACTGAGGAGAGGACCGTCGAAGAGGCCGGCGAGAGCGATCTCCGAGAGGTCCAACACGTAGTCTCCGATGGCGACCGCCGGTCGAGGCAGTGAACTCGGCCGGTGCTTGAAGACGCCGAAGGGGAGGTTCTGGATGGGGAAATGAGAGTCCGGACGAACTTCGATGAACGATTTCAGCGCCGCCATGGTTTCGCAGTAACTTGTGTCGGGAACTGAGAGCAGCGAGAAATGCCGGAGGACGGCGACGGAGAGAAGTTAATAGGCGGAGGAAGGTGAGGAAAATAATTGAAATGGAGTTTGTTGGAATTGACGGTTAGATAGATGTCCACGGGAGGCCCGTAGACGGATTACGGACACCGTGGTAGACCCGACCCGCCAGTGAGCAAAACGGTCACGCTTCTTTCTCCTTCCTCCGTTTTCTTTCGCTTTCCCGATAAAGTATTTGCTCCATATTCTTTTCGCCCCGGCCCGAATGCGAATATTGAAATGGAGCACGATGCTCATGCTAACACAAAACTATTTGTTCAACTTTAGAAAGAGTGTAAGGTGAAATTAAGATCATAGTTAAAATTTGATTCAAGTTGGGAGTATTTGATATAAACTGAGAAACTCACTAAAAACCATCACAACAAGATCAACAACATTAACAAAGAAGTAAACAAGTAGCAATAACATCAGGCAAAAACAAAAACAAAAAGAAGCTAATCAAACGACCTTTCATTTCGTTAATTATAATTGACGTCTGATTATCTAAATATTTTCACCGGCTTAGATCAATTGTAACTATTTACCAGTTAGTCAGTTTAACTAACATTGCCACTAAAATGACACATAGACAATTTCTCAAATAAATATACTCATTTTTTAATGAACTAAACCTGAACTAGTCCAACAAAAAAATTTGGTAAGGGCGAAATCGATTCATTAATTAGAAAATGTGACATATAGGTCCAAGCCATAACGATTATGTGTCATAGAATGATCTGTATATGGTTGCTTGTGAATACTTGAGACCTTTCTTTCAAAATCGTTCCCGTGCCATAGGAGAATAGAGAGTTGCATGAAAAAGATTGAGAATGATCACTGGCAAATGAAATCGAGGCTTAAATATTTGACTATAGATTATAAAAATATGAATCATATAATAACCGTGCAATGAAAAATAATATGACGATAGACTATCAACCCTTTCATAAAAAACCCGACTTCAATAAGCTATTGGATGAAGATCGATGCAAATAAAGCCAAACGATTTGCATTGTAGAGACAGAGTTTTGCTTATCCGGGTCGGGTTTGATAATCTTCCCCTTTGTCGTACATTGATGTCGGATGCCCCGCCTTGGCAAAGAAACACTAAAACGTTCGTTATTATCAGATGGCTGTCTCTTCTTCAAAACTCTCACAACTTCGGATCCCTTTTTGTCTGTAACTAAACTGTCTTCACATGCACGTTCGTCTCTCAACCCAGAAGTGACCAATGGTATTGCTCCGGCCGGCGACTCCTCCACAACACACCCATGCGTTCGCCAATTACAGCTGACATGTCTCGGTTTGTTAGCCACGTTGGTCAAGGCTCCGGCCGGCGACTCCACAACGAGCACCATTCATCAATTACAGTTTTCACATGTTTGGCATTTTTACGGAACCATAAGGAGAGATCGGACGATCAATATGTTGGCTTGAAGTTTGCTTAGACGATTCGTCTCGTGATTGAAAATGTCACACGAATTAATAAGTTGGTTTGGTATATAATTAAGTTGGGATGCAGTACTCTAAGAGTGGATCTCCAATATTAAAGTATTAAACCAATGCTTCATATTGGAATGGAGACACACGGAAGTACTTATTACATACATTGCAAAAATAGAATTCAGGTACTCGTCACACCTTGTCAACTATTTGTGCGCACCACCACTAACCGTAACAAGTGTTAGGTGGTACAAAATACTCGAACCAGTGAATATTATGCGACTCCTGTAATAGCCACATCGAACAATATGTTGAAATTTAAATTAAAACTGATTATGTTTTCTATTACTAATGTGTTTGTTCTTATGATGTTCACTAATTGACCACAATTTACTAGAATGGAGAACCATACACCCAAGCAAAGCTTAAGAAGATGATTAGTACTCCACGCATCCAAAGAGAATCGCAATTAATTTAATCTTTCCCGCCTCGCCATCTCCGCCACTCCGCTTATATATCAACCCTTCCTTCGCCACCTCTCGGAAAATCTCTCTCTCTCTCTCCCACGGGATTGGAAGCTCCGACCGTCAACCCGGAAAAAGCGACCCCCGCCGCCGAAGAAATTAAAATGAGCCCCACCTCATCCTTAATCGAATGGCTCAAACTCGACTGCTTGTTCCCCAACAAGAACCACCGCAGGAAGAAGAAGCGGAGCACCCCGCCACCATCACCAACCTCAGCAACCGCCGCCCCAGCCACCGCCCGGCGAAAACCACTGACGTTGGAGGAGCACCTCTCGTCGGCGTCCTCTGCCTCAACGGGCCGTGGGGTTCGGAAGCCATTCCCCAAACGGGTCCACCCATCTTCTTCCTCATCGTCTTCATCGTCGTTGTCTACCGCCGGCGGAAGGAAGGGAAAGGGGAAGAGCAACGGGTTCACGCTGGAGACGCTGGTGAAGCTGGACAGGGAATCGAAGGACGATTACTTCAGTGAGAACAGCAGCCGGAGCAATTTGGTCGTCGCCGGTGATGGTTCTGGCGTCGGGTTGGCGGTGGGGAGCCGGAGTCGCCGGCGGGAGGGGAAGAAAAATGGGAAGAGGGTGAGGTTTACGTTGCCTGGAGACGGCGACGTTTATGTTTTCTATTCCCCGAGGGCGCCGATTCATAGGCCTTTCACTCTCTTTGAAACTTCTTAAAACTATAATTTGGTGTATAATCATTTGATTGTATATTTTGGCAAGCCAATTAGTCAAACAAAAGCTTTATTATTTTGGTGTGTGGAAGCTAATTAGGAAGATTTTTTAATTGCTTGCTTATGATAAAATCTGGGGAAAAAAAAGAGAAAAAAATAATGATTAAGTGATGAAATTTCGATATACTGTTGTATGTTCACGTTCAAAAGTAAGACTTATATTAGTAAGATATAGGCAAATATCGTCTATTGAAATATATTATAACTATACTAACCTCATAGTTCCCTCTAATTACAACTTCTTCATAATCTCTAATCATTATTCCAGAGGACCTGGAAGCGAGGGTATGTAATCCATCCATAGAACAAGCTGGATCGCAAAGTAGTAAGTAGTAACCTCCAGTTGATGAAAGACTTTCTACTCCATTTAACTATACTAGCTATCACTCCCACTAATTACAAAATTTTCCATATTTTCGAACCATCGTATCAAAGGGCCTAAAAGCGAAGGGATGTAAGATTAGAAAATCAGTAACCTTCCTATTTTTTCTGCACGAATCTTCGACTGATGCAACCATATAAGATTGGACAATGTCGCTATCAAGGATCACCTCCTTCGTTACATCCTTCTCAAGGCCAGTTGAATGTAACCATGGATGATATTGTCCTTTAATTGGTCAATATTCTACTATATGACTATTTTGTACGAATGCCATTTGTGAAGTAATTAAATTCCATGGAATTCTCCAAAGTATGAATCATACCTTTTGAAGTAATTAAAGGATGGAATATTTTTGACCACCGTTGCTTCCAATACTTTCTTGTGAAGTAGAGACAACAAAAACACAGATGAGAATTTAGTAATAATCGGCCCCTAAATGTTGTATATAGATCACTAATCCAATGATTAACTAAATGAAAGTTAGGGGAATGGTCTCCTTAGTTCTTTCTACTTATTATAAAATCTCACTTAGCAACAAAGAGATTTAACTCCTAGCTAATCTCTTACTTTGCATACTCCACCATTTCTTGTGGTCCATATACCTCACCTAACCATAAAAAAAAATTAATTACGAAAACTTAAATAGATCAACTTGCTATTCACACTTTACAAATATTTCAGATAGATAAACGATGAGTAATTAAATAGTAGTACTTTGTATGGTTACATTTCGTAGCGATTAAAGGGTTGTCGAATTCTTCTTAAGGGAGCAATGCTACATTTTGATATATGACTTCAAAAAGGATTGGCTTAAAATTGGTAGCCTACAAAAGAATGTACCCCAATTAGTTTGCAAATTGCAACCTCTACTTCATGCAAAGATTGACTATTGGACCGTCCAAACTGCCTGTAAGTGTCTGTCACGAGCCCAATCGCTTAATCACAACTCCAGGCCCAATTCTTATTTCATCGTCAGCCCAGTAAGACAGAAACGAAATTATTGAAGAAAAAAAGGAACACAAATTCCGTGTTGCCCCACAAATTTATTGAAACCGTGAATTCATCATCGTCAGCCATTACAAACTACAATTTGATCAGTAGGAAATCAAACTACTACAATTCAGTGCCTAAAGGAAAAACCACTTGCCAAATGCCAACTGTCTGTTTGGCAAATCAAAAGCAATCAATCCAAGAAATTGATCAAAATCCCTAACCCCCAAATTTCCCATCCGCAATTCAGTTCAAAGTCACGGCAGCGAGTTGGCCGCCGGCGACGGTACTGGGATCAGAGCGACAGATCCCTTCGACGAGCTGGAATACTTGTGAGCCACCGCTTTCAACTTTCCATCCTTAACCTTCCCGATCAATTCCACCAATACCCTGCCGCAATCCCTGACCTCCTTCTCCGAGTACCCTGTGTGAAACTCCAGCACATCGGTCCAGCCGGGAGCCCGGTTCATCACCGTCCTCGCGACGTAGACCGCCGCCGCTGCCGCCATTGAGGGGGGAAACATCACCGAGCACTCATAGTCCATCAGGCCGAGCTCCGACAGGTAGTTCGCCATGTGCTCCACCTTCACATCATGCACCGGAGTTGTGGAGGCGGCGAAGACCGCCGCACCTGCTTTGGCGAATCGGGTGAGAAAGACGAACTGGGTGGGGACTGTGAGGGTCCATTCGAGGTGGGCAAGGATGGTTTTCTCCATGGCTAGAATCTGCTGACCACAGTAGGCTCTGTCGGAGATGTTGACCAGTTCGTTGACCTCCGGCGGCCAGATCTCTTCGTACTTGGATGCCATCAGAGTGGCGCTGATTCCGACGAGCTGTAGCTCCTTCCTCTGGACGGTTTGCACGGAGAGAAAACGGTCGATGATGTTGATTGTGAGGTACAGGGTTTCTCTGGAGAGGTCGAATTTCTGGTGGACGTCGATGAGCCAGTCGACGAGGATGGATCGCATCCGAGTGTTGATCTCCGGCTGTGAATTCATGTAGCAAATCGGCCGGCTCTCATTCTGCATCATCAAGACAATAAGAATTGGTTTGAGTAAGCTGCGCTGTATTGAGATTTTGTGAAACCAGAAGGGGGAAAATGATTTTGTCTTTTACCTCCACGAGCTTGTAGAATTTGTAGATGTCCTCGACGTATTCGACGGCGGCGAGATGGTTACCGGCGTCTGGTGCATCGATGTTGAAGACTTCCTTCTCTTTTGGCTTGCAAGCTAACTGAAAACAAGCAAACAGAGTGGCGAATGAGAAACAAGACAGCAATTTGCGAAAAGGAGAGAAAGAAAGAATGGGGGAGAAATTAGGGACCTTGCTGGAGGTTGTGAGGATGGAAGTGAGGGTCTGAAGCTTCTTGTTCTTCTTCTTCGACTTTTCTTGACACTTCTTCTTGTTACTCTTGGCCTCCGAATCAGAGCTAAGGACGATTACTTCTTCGTTGGTGACTGGCGGCTTCGGCTTCTGTTTGGGTACGGCAGCAGCGGCGGCGGCGGCTGTTGGTCTCTTCGTCGCTACAAGCGCCTTCTTCTTGTGATCGACATTGACACAGATTTTCTTCTGGTAAATTGAAAATCGAAGCAGCACCCAAGATTCAGATTGAGTGCGATTCAAAACTAGAAATCGAAAACCAGAAACCAAAGAAATCGTTGGATGAATTTGGAGAGGAGAAAGATCGGTACCTTGTTGTTATCCGCGGCGGCGGCGGCTTGGGCGTTGGCCAGAAGTTGAGCGCGGAAGCTCCTGGTGACTGGGCGAGCGATCTGCTTCCCGGGGATTTCAGGGACGATGCCTGCTGCCAGATTCCCGATGTCGCCTAGAGCTCGCCGGCTCTTGTTCTCCCCTCCGGCGGCCATTGTTTTCTTCTGCGGTTCTGGATGCTTGTTCAAACCCCCTGCCGGGCGGAAAAAAGCAGAGAATCTCGTCAGAAACAGTAAGGAATAATTTTGATTGCAAATCGAACTGATTTGAAATCAATCAAGAACAGAAAACCCAGATAACAGAGGGCGGCGACTTGAGGGGAAGGAAAAAGGGGAGCAATTGGAAAGAGGGAAGAAATTGTTACCTCTAACTTGCTGAGGAACGATGGGTCTCGACGCCATTCCTTCTCTCTTCTATCTTCTTCTTCGCTCAAGAACTCCGTCTTCTCTCTCTTTCTCACTGATTTCTCTCTGCAAATCTCAGAGCAAGAGATGAAAGAGACATACGGAGATTTGGGGGAAAGGTCGCTTGCTTGCCTTATGAACAGGCTTGGTTCCAACGGTCGAATTCGTTTTCCACTTATGGCCGTTGGATGACATTCTCTATCCGACGACGTAGATTATAGAGCTGTTGGACTGTGAAACCCGAAATGGGAAAAATAATTTTAAAGAGGTAAAACGGAGCGGGGGAGCGGTAGCTTTTGGAAAATGAATGGGCCGTGTGGGATTGGGCCTAGATGGGCTTTATCTCTCTTAGCCGGGTTGTGGACCCAATTAAGTGGGCATCGTAAGTCACTACCATACATTTACTTAACAATACAAATTAGTTTTAACGAGTCTTTTAATTTTACTTCTGGCAAGAAAATCATCTTATTACAACAAAACACCAAAAAAGACTTGTAGATTAACTAAAATAACGAGGAGTCGTCCTTATTGAAGGATATTTTTTCTCATTCTTTTAATAATAAAATATGGCAACTCATTTGAAACAGATCTTGTTAATACATCTAATAAGAACCCTAAAGAATTGGTCTAGTGATAATGTAAGACAATAACATCTACCACGCTTTGGATTCAAACCGGATAACTGAAAATCAACTTACAAATATGTAGTATATAGTGATGGAGGGAATACTTCTTAATGATCTGAAGCTTTATATATATCTAACTTATCTCTTTAATACAGTCCAAATCACAACATTGCTAGATACTAGATGCCTGTGGACTTTGGAGCTTCCTTCCATTCGATGACCACTAGCTGGATACAAAATGACAGCCGCTGTAACCTGCAGCCAAATACTCGAATTTGTAAATGATAAAAAAAAGAGCATTTTGGGTAATTAAGAACAATATTAGTGACTAATTACTTTACTTACTTGGATCAATGGAGACCAGCATGGCAGTCCCACCAAAATCACAAGTCCCACCAGCAGCCTTGGCCTTCTGCCAGTAACTATTGAAAGCGAAGGAGGAGTGGGCCGAGACAGTATTGGGCTGGAAGCAAGGCGCACTGGGCTGGATCATCTTGCAATCCGCTCCCATCCCACAAGCATAGTCCAAACCCCGTTGGAGCGTCGAGTCCGATACCGAGGGCTTCGCCACGCACCATACGGTGGACCCGGGCTTCGTTTGAGACGGCGGCGACGGTGGACCGGGAGAGACGATCGGGACGGAAGGGTTGTGGGCCGGTGGGCTGATCGGGGTTTGTGTTGGTGGGCCGAGCTGAGAGTTGGGTGGGCTTGGGATTTGTGTTGGTGTTGGTGGGCTGAGTTGAGAGTTAGGTGGGCTTGGGATTTGTATTGGCGGGCCGAGTTGAGAGCTAGGTGGGCTTGGGATTTCAGTTGGTGGGCCTAGCGGAGAGATAGGCGGGATTGGAATTTGTGTTGGTGGGCCGAGCGGAGAGTCGGGTGGGTTTGGAATTTGTGTTATCGGTCCAGGTTGGGAAATAGGTGGGCTGGGAGTAGGTGGTGGATCGCTAGCCGGAATACCAGATAATGTCGGCGGTGAAAGTTGTTGGCTTGGTGAAGAAGGTAGGGCAAATGGCGGCTCTGCACAAGGAGGAGAAGGAGCAGAAGGAGGTTGTTGTTGCCACTGCAATGGAAGTTGTGAGAATGATCCCATTGGAGTTTTCTCGTCTGCTAACTCTGTGTCCTCGTCTAATATTTCATCCATTGGTATATTGTTGTTGGCTACTCCTCGAGAATTTAGAGCTCGTGCATCTAAATGATAACAAAAAACAATATGTGATCACAACCTCTAATCATATAATTAAGAATCGAGAAACTCAAAAGATGGAAAAGAGTACCAATGAGACTGAAGAGCGAAAGGTGTAGAAGCAATGCAATGAGGAATGAACATGATGGCCTCCTCATCTTTTATGGCAATGAGAGGATGGCTCTTGAGATTGTGAGCACATAGATAGCTATTTATTGGTATTTGGGGAACCCCTTTTAAGGAGCTTAGGAGGAACATTGGGATTGTGAGAAGAGACAAAAAGGGCAAAGTCCCCATGGAATCATGGTTGCTTTTAGGGTTTAAGGAATATGTACTTACTTAAGGGAAGAGGAAGATGGAGACAAACTTTTGAAGTTAGATTTTGATTCTCTTCTGTAATGCACCTTTTGTTAATGTGGCTTTGCTTGGTTGCTACTCAAGGTGTTTGTATAATAATACACTGTTCCAGGATTTTGGTGCTCATGAGCTCACTTAAAAATAAACTAGCACTCATATCAGGATAGGGCTAAACCAATTTCCAGAATTGAGCAGAGAAAACCATGACAATAGCATCCACAACAGTCTAATAAATTGCTTTATAGTATAATCAAAATGTGCTGAGTTCGAGTCTCAAAAACGCCTTCCAAAAGGATCTGGTAAACTACAACAGGGGGATCATGTAATGCTGGTTTCTTACTACGATGATTCTAACTGCAGTTCTCGTCATAGTACACCTCAGGTATTAACTCGAAGCGATGCCCTATTAACCGTGCACTAATTTCGTGCGAGTTAATACGTCTTTCTGACTTTTCATCCGTGAGAAAACTAGACAATCACCAATGTACAAATGACGATCTAAAGAAAGTGTCGCGGCAAAACTGAAGCAAGTGGCAGCATTAGATTCTTCAAAAGTTTTCGTGAACAGAGAGACTCTGCTTAGCCACGGGCCATGGAGAACCTAAGTTAATGCCACTGGTGTGAAGGAGTTCCCCTCCTGATGCTTATTGATCTGCTGTACACTCCGCAATACTAAATGGTCATGATGTCGTCTTTCGATATGTGCATCTTTGCTTTATCTCGTCTACCATTTACTTGCCCCCGCTCTGGTTGGCCTCTCTGATCAAGACACAGTGCTAGAGTTTTAGTCTTCAGCAGAATGTGCAGAGAAGTGGTAGGAATGGAGGGGGAAATGGTTTACCTTTCTCAAGGCGAATGCAAGGTACAAGTATGCTACTTCCCATTCATCTGGCGATAGGGTGCCTAAACAGCAAAACCAAGGCCGTAAGTAACAGAGAATGAAAACAGAAACCAAAAAAGGCATGCAAGGACAGGAAGAAGCTTACTCTTGTCTCGATCATCCCCCAAAGCACCAAGCCGCCGCATTAGGTCGACGTATTCTGGTTTCTTTAAGTACTCATGCACGAAGTCATGTGCATTCTTCGCAAAAACTAGCTCTAAATCATACTGCATAATAAAACATGACAATGTGCAGGTTTTTCAGTACAAATGGCTACCATAATAACCCATTGAGGCCATCTAAAAAACCAACAGTTTACCTCGTCTGCCAACGCTTTAAACACATCAACAGGCACAATCCATTCTGGACAATCTACAGCATCCTGCAAAAACAGAGCAAATCTCACAATCTTGGTTGATTCATTAACTGGAAGTATCCCTTGAATAATTAATTGATAAGACTAAATACCTCTAGGTGGAACTGGTACTTGATACCAAAAGGAGAAGATGAGCTAAAGCTCTGAATCACAGAAAGGGCAAGGTGTTATCCTCAAGATTGCAGTGTTCAAATCCAAGAAGGTTTGCAAAAAACAAAACAAAAATCACCTTTTCTGCATAATCTTCTTCAAAACGAATCCAGTAGACACTATTGCCAAAGGACAGCCCATCAGCTGTACATTGACATAAAACCACATCTTTAATCATGAGTTTTACATATAGGGGGGTTCTGCAATGCCCAATTTATCTCTCTCTCACAAAAACTATTGCAGCACGGAAAAATTATCTAAATTAGAATCTCATAACAAGAAAAAGAGGGCAACTCACATGCTCTGAGTTTTCTTATGATAACATTAGCATCTGGCATTGTTCCAATGAAAGTACCCCCAGGACGTAGTAAGGCCGAGACATTGGCCAACGCTCTCCGTGCACGTGTCTCAGTAGACCACGAATAGTGTAGGGCAAACTGCATAGATATAAGTTCATGCCTAGTTACGGAAAATGTATATGGGAAAACCAGGCAATTCGAAAATGTTTGACAGGTAATTAGCAAAAGCAGACTAACATTTTACTTCAATGTAAGGATAACCTATAAAACTAATTGGGCAAAGCGTACATTCTGCCAAAGTAGCGAGAAACTCTGTGATTTGAACAAAACTAAAATGCATTGCTATAAAAAAAATGGAATATTTTATGTCTATAAGTAAGCAAGTCCTTAGCAAAATCATCCACCAAATATTGAAAATTGATGCTACATAATTGACAGTAAATAGCTTTGTAATTTACCTGACAGCTGCAGACATCAAAAGGGGCATCATCAGCAAGGACCTTGTCCAAGCGAATCTGAATTAACAAGTCAGAACACAGGTATATCAGATGACAGCACAATTTTTTCATCAAGGGTTAATGAGTTATCGAATCATCATGAAATGATCTTCAAACTAACATAGAGGAATCATGAAATCTAGCACAATTAAATAGTTCTGTTCAAAGCAATAATTGACTAAGTCTTTTGAACCTGCTATTACCTCATAGCAGTCTCCACATATCAAACGAGCTGGGAATGAGAACTTCTTACGATTTTGATGATGATTGGCATCACCATTATAACGGGTCCGACAATCTTCGATCTGTCGTGAATATGGTGTTGCAAATTCAATAAGACAGATTAGATAGCAACTAAGCAACCCAAACCAGAAATTAAGAAGCAATTGAAGAACATATTACCGAGCCTTCAGCGATGTCAACACCAACATAATATCCTACTTTTGCTTTATCCCACTTAATGAGATCTCCACCCTGGAAACCAAAATCAAACTCTAACTAAATAATTTTCTAAGGTTCCAGTAGGCAGATCCAAAGAGCAACTGAGCTTACCTTTCCACAAGCCAGATCAAGAACAGCATCCCCTCTACGAGTATACAGTTGGATTAAGACACTTTTTATCTGTCAAATTGATGGTCCAACAAAGTCATCCACCATTCCATCGATCTTCAGAAGTCTAAGGAAATAGAAGTAATCAAACATACCCAGTTGTTAAGTTTCTTTAAATGGATAATTGGACTCGATTCTCGCTCTGCCAGACTCTGATTTGTCCTTGCACTGTAATGGGCCGCCACTTTCTGCACAACATCCTCGGAATAGTCGGTATCACCTAGAAACACAAGAAAAGCTCAGTACTCTCATTGCTCCAAAAAACAAAGACAGATGGAATCCTCTCCAGCTTTCTCAATATGAGATTGTTGACAGAATGCACAGTTTGCAAGTTTATCAATTGAAACAATTAAAATCCAAGAAGCAACTTTCACATGTAGGCTCAATCACAAGCATTACTACTCCAACCTAACCAGAATCAGAAAGTTCCATGCTTTATTACCCCAACCTAACAAAAAAACAAACCAAAGCCCTTGAGAGCTAAAACCCAATGTCCAAAAGACCAACAACCTGCTATCTACACAAGGAAACATCAACTTAGCACGACCAATTCCTTCTTCAAAAGTTCACCAACCCCGCATTCAAAAAAAAGCACCAGAATTCATAACAAAAGAGGCAAACCAAACTACAGCAACCATGTTCAACAATCCAATAGCTTAAAGAAAAAGCAACAGTCTTTACCTTCAGTGGTGTGCTTCAATCTGGATTTAGGAGGACCGCCAGAGTTGGACGGAGAACCCGTGTACCCACGTTTCATGGCGCCAAGGAATCGAAACCAGCCAAACAATCACAGAAGCGCAACCAGCCCTAAACCCCCACAGAGATGAATAAGCAAACAACAAGCAGGGGTTCGGGCGTCGGGCGCGACGCAAGCTTCTAGGGTTCTGAGAAGGGGCGGAATAATATCGAATTCGAAAGCGATAATGGAGGGATTCTATATGTTAGACAGGCAAATGGGCGGCTGCCGTAGAAGCTCTTTCCCAATTCGAAGGGGTTGGTTGGTTCTTTCGTTCGTTAACGGTTATCGATGGCGGTTGGTATTGGAACAATGGAGAAAGCAAAGAAGCTCGTCAAGGAAGAAGAATGAGGAGAAGGAGAAAGAAGAGTGAATGAGACAGTGAGTGTGACGGTGGTCGTACGAACGCACTGCCACCGGGATTTTACCAGTTTACGGCTGTCTTTCTTTCTCCATTTTTATCCCTTTTACTTCCTTCTTCATTTTCCTTTTTTAACTTCGGAAACGTCGAAATATATACTGTTGTAAAAGTACATCGATTTAATTCATTCAATATTTAAAAAGCAGTCTACAAAACAATTCTTTCATGGTGCTTCTATAATAAATAATTTTTCACATAATATGATTTATAATATTTGAGATGCAAATTACATAATACGGGATTACAAATGAGTTCATTTACACCTAAAATTTTAAGTTCAATCTCGTCTATGATGTGAAATAAAGTCATTCGAGATTTCGAAATGGAAACTTCATGTCTTTGTCCAGTTGAAGTATTTGTCCACTTTTGTGTCAATGGAGGCTCTTTGGCTTAGATGTATAATGCAATGCAATTAAGAATGATAACCATATCCATATGATAGAAAGACCAAAATGAAGCAATGTAGAAGAGTGAACACCAATGGTTAAACCAAGTATTATATAAACAAATGATTTGTTTTGGCGTCTATCTAACAGCAATGTTGCCCTTATTATCATACCAAATTGAAAGAATGATCACAAGATATTTACATTTTATTTTCAGATCATACAACAAATGAATCCAGTTGATGTCATGCTGTTGTTAAGCTTGAAACTCAGCTTCCAATTGGCAGCTTCAGAGGCTTGAGCTCATTTACAAGTCAACTGCCAGTCTCCCCTACTTCATCACCACAGCAGCTGGCAATCCAATCCAACTTAGCAATCAGACGCATGTAAAAAAGCCTCTCAACATATTCAATCAACTGCACGAAGAACGGATCAAATAAACTTCCAGCTGTTCGGCAGACTGTGCCTCAGCTCGTATTAATGGAAGGGATAGTCGATAACAAAGATCTTGAAGATCAAGATCTAATGTCACCACCAAAAAACCTATGTCTGTATACTCTTGTAGTGCAATCGTACTTCAGCAGCAACTACTTCTCATTATTCGCATTGGTATGGGATAAACCCATTTTATCTAGCCTTTTCCCCCCAGCCTTCTTGGGTTTCTTCCATCCTAGCAATTGTTGCCGTGCCATAGCGACCTAGTGCCTGTGAAAGAGAAAAACAAGAAAGACCATCAGACTAGGTTTGCAACAAAATAAAGCCTTCTGAAGTATGTTAAAGTTCAGAGCAAGTACCCAACGTTGAGTGATGCTGGTAGTCTCTAATTGGAATATTTCGATTTAAGAAGTTTAAGTCATATTGCTCCATTAAGGGAACCAGATTCCCAATAGCAAATTGAAATCAGACCAGATTCCCAATAGCAAATTGAAATCAGACTCAGCTAGCTGCCACAATCAGACTTAGGCTTGGATGTGGAGTATCACCTGGTCACTGCAGCAGGTATCTTGTGAATCATGACATTAAAGCAGGATCCTCGCCAGATTTGCACGATGGTGGCATCCGACTTCCATAAACATAAATAATTTCCTCCAGAAGGAACACAACTAAGTAGCTCCTGCAAATTGTATAAGCAGTCACTTTGTTCAGAAAGGAATTGACTAATTAAAATGTTACTCCAAGGTAGTATCGAGAAAAACGCAAGGGTGTTTACTTATATACAAAGACCATACCCGAAGACAGGCACAAGGAAAGCTAAAGCATAAAGCTTGTGCTACATCCAGCCAGGATCGCCCATTGACGGCATGGTTGACATGCAAACAATGATTTCCTTCTCAGCTTCAGTCTGCAAATAAGTCGATAAGCTTCTAAGAAGTTGTAAAAGAAAACTGGACCGAAATAGATAAAATAAAAACCTTGCAACAGTAAGCAAAATCTTCCACCCACAGAAAAGATACCAAACGCTATAACATAACGGTTTAACCAAACACAGGCTATCATAAGAAATTGACACAAGAAATTCATCAAAATAATCTGTTGAAAATCAAAGAATTTCGTAAGATAACCACAATAGAGTTCGTATCAAGATAGATGCATGAACAAGAAACAAGCAGTGATGTTTATCTTAATTTCAGTAATAAAGCATACCGTCTCTTATAATTAACATGCACGAGCTGCTAGAAAGCACATGAGGAGTCTTTAGGCTGTGAAGGTTACCAATGCACCTAACAAGAACTTAGCCATCATGAGTCTTCTGAAAGATCAGAAAGGAATCATAATTTTATCATCTGAAAATAACGAATTGCCTTCCTAAGCTTCCTTGCATCTGCTTGAAAGCCAGCACGCTGGAGGCCATTGAGAACAGCTTGTTTAGCTGCCGGGAGTATTCTAATCCCTTCTCTTGCACAAGAGAGCAATAGCTCTTTTGCGCAGCCCAACCTTCCAGCTTTGGAAAGATTGTAAACCAATGACGAGTACGTAAATGAGTCTCTCCCCTCCATCGACTCGGTCATCCTCCAGGCAAGATCAAACTTGCCAGCTTTACCTAAGCCGTCAATAACAGAGTTTGTGGCAGCAGACGTGGAATCAAAACCGCTCATACTCATAGTCATCAAGTGTTGTCGAGCCGCCTCAATATTGCCAGCCTTACGCAATCCATCCACAATTATGGTATTTGTGTACTCATCAAATTCCAAACCTTTTCTCCCCATTTCATCAATCCAATTATCAGCTTCATCCAACTTACCTTCTTTACATGAGAGATTCATTAGCGTATTGTATGACACTAAATCAAGCTCGATACCATTCGTTATCATCTCTTCTCTGAACGAAGCTGCTTGTTCAATTCTACCAACCTTGAGCAGAGCTCCAAGTGCTGTACAATACCCAAACCCATCATAAGTGTACCCTTTACTCTTCATCTCTTCCAACACCCTAAGTCCTTGATTCAATTTTTTAGACTTAAACCAGCATTTCATCATCGTAGTATACGTTACAGCATTGGCAACTTTTCCAGAAGCCTCGCATTCCCGGAGGGCCCTTCTAGCAGCGCCCAATTTCCCAGCTTTACACAACCCATCAATAAGAACATTATAAGTAACCACATCGGGATCAAACCTCTGTTCCTTCAGATACCGGAACAAGCCAAGTGCCTTACTAGCATACCCATTCTTGCAGAGACCATTAATCAAAATGTTATAAGTAGCAGGAACGGGTGTCATACCTAGTGACTTGATACTGTCCAGCATCCTATAAGCTTCAACCGGCTGCCTCAGCTCAAAGAAACAGTGCATCAAAGTGTTGAAGCTCCAAACATCCGGGTTTACGTTTCTCTCCAGCATCTCGTCGAACAGTTGGAATGCATTCTCGAACAAGCGCCGCCTGGCAGCACACGCAATCAAAGAATTGTAAGATACCACATCGGGTTCCATCCCGGCTTCCGCCATTCTACCCAGAACAGCATAGGCAGCCTCGATGCTAATCAGACGACCGTAGCCATTGATTAAGGTATTGAAAGTGACCACATCGGGGAGAACTCCCAGTCTAATCCCGTCGATAATCACCGTCTCCGCTCGCTTCAAATTCCCAGCCTTGCAGAAAGATCTCACGCACTCATTCAGTAGTATGTTCTCCAAATTCACCCACATATCTAGCTTCTTCCCCCTTTCCTGCTTTCTACTACCCGCGACCAAAGGACAAAGAAATGGACGAAATTTCGCATACCCAGATGGCGATTTCGTCACCTTCAAACGAAAATGACGCGAACGCAAGGAAGCCGAAACCCGGCTTGCAGACGGTTTTTGGAGCCGAACTGAATCTACCCGATGGTTGCAGGAGACAATGGAGGAGGAGGAGAAGTCAAGAAGCTGGATGCGTAATTGACTGGGCCTGGCCGTCAAGAAGTTGAGCAGGCCCAAGAGGATAGTTCGTTGCTAGCTTAGCCCAATATAGGCTCTTGAGCTCATAAACTTGGTCCCGGCCCAACTACATTTTCGCTCGTATTTTATATATTCCCAGTTTCCCACCAAAAAGAATGGAAATAAATGTCGGGAAAGAATAAACGGATAAAAAACTGTCACGGGACACCCGCCCAAGATTTAGATTTTTAAATGCAACGGTCACCTTTTCCGATGCCATCTAAACTCTACAAAAAGCAGAGCACTGGAAACGAAAAGGAAAACAGAGCAAAACAACGGTCATAACACAAAGTATCCGAATCCAGGACGGAGAGAAAAGGAAAAAGGGAGATCAGATGTCGAACAATAAGAAGAGGAAACAAAGGGGAAACGAAGATGGAGGAGGAGAAGAAAGAGAGGGGTTTCTGAGCTCAAATTGCAGAGTGGTGGAGTATCTTCAGCCATTGATGTCGAAAGAGCTACTGGTAAAGTTCCCGGACAACTCCGCTTTCGATTTCAACTACTCCGAGAGCTCCATATGGTCGCCTCTGGTCCCTCGAATCCACAATTATGGAGGTGGGTTCCAGTCTGATTTGGAGAACAGAGGCGAGAGGCCAAGGAAGAAGATGAAGGTGAAGAAAATGGTGGTGGCAGGGGAAGAAGAGGAGAAAAGCAGTGCTTCGTGTAACTTTAATTTCGGATTGACGAAGATGAAGAAGAAGACGGAAGGGATAATGGTGGACTCTGTTTTCTCTTCGAATTATGTGGAGGGCTCTGTTTCCTGTATCCCGCTGGCTACTAAGGTAAGGAGATTTTATGTAAAAAATTTCTACAAATTTCTCAGCTTTCCTTCCTTCGACTGGATGACTCCTATTATAGTTTGAATGTGACCAAATCATCATAATAGTAATCTCAAAACCTCATTTTGTTGGGGGCGATTTGTGTAGGGGTGGAATAAGGTGCTGAAAGCTGCCACAAAGCATTTCAAGAATGGCAAGAAGAAGATGATGAAGAGGAGAGATTCTCATCTCAGGCTGTGCAACTACTTGGGCAAATTCCCTGAAGAATTGTGAATTCTTCCCCTCTGAATTTGCATAGGGGAATTGCTAGACTAGCTAAGATTAATTGATCCATCTGTATAATAATTACTACTGTCAACGAAATCTACCTCTTCCACTCTTTTTTTTACTTCGCCAATTCTATTTATGATTCAATGTTCTATGTTGTTAGCCAGTGTCATTTCTGGAGAAGACAAGCAATTAGCAAGTGCTACTTTGACCAATCTCCGATAACAGAGAAGCAAGAAGGAACTAATAAATCGTGGCCGGAATGTGATTGACTATTGAATATTGATATGGTCCAAAAGGCTCAACCTATAGTTTGAATTGCATTTCTTGTTTATATGTGTTTTTCTATTAATAGATAGGAGGATATGAGCAAATAGCCACAACTACGACTAGAAGGAATAGGAAGGGCATGTACGGAATTCGTGAAGACTCGAATTAGGTAGTTTTAGGGTTACATACATCACTGCCTTTAAACATCTTCATACCATATTGCTTTACGCTACATGTCGTGACACACTGTTTTTTTGCTTGATCCGTGTTATGGACCTCATTTGATTGATTGATTCAAGCAGATATCTGGATAGCACTAGATGGTTAGACATGTCAAATACTTAGGTTTCGATTTCTTTCGACCCGCAAGAATTAGCCACGTTACGCGGGTCAATCATATTTCAATCCAATCAGGAAGCTAATACACCACTCATTCTAGATCGATCGAAGCATGGTTTGAACGAATTACAATGCACCATCGACTCTACGTTTTGGATCGGGTCTAGTTAGATATCGACAACAATAACGAAAAATCTAACTTATAATAAGCACCATTGAGACGGTCCATGTTTACAATATTTGATCAATCAACCCTAGCATTGTTGAAACGACTGACTTTCGGAGGACTTTTTGACTAGAACAGCATCTTCATCATTCGGCTTGAATTACAAAACCAGATCTCTTATTATATCATTGCCGTCAATCTGCTCTGCATTCCCCCACCTTAAACCACGGACGGACCCCTCTGGAATCAGGACAAACCGCCGACTGTGGGAATCATACAAACGAAGCTACGTTGAAACAGAATCTTTTCTGCCGAATCCCGCTTTCTCAAGTGGAGAGAATTTAGACTCTTAACGGAAGAAGCCAAAGCCCTAATTGAAAAAGGGACGACCTTGTGATTTCGTGAAGAACAACAACGTTTGTACTTAGGTAAACTCCTTGACTGAAATGTCAACAAAAGTCATATTTACTAGTAGTGTTGTGTTGCTACTAGCTAGAGATGAATTTGAGGTGTTTAGGAGTTGTTTGGTTGCCATCTACTAGGTGGTTAATTATAGTTATTCGAGAGATGCTTGTGTTACACTATCATTTCGTGATATTATGAGATATATTTAAGGAAAGTAGTATAGGATTTCATACATGGACTTTTCTCTATAGTTCGAGTTATGGGGATACGCTGTTTGGTTGTCATTTATTGAATGTTAATATGTTATACGTAATTGAGAGATGGTTATGTAATGCATCGGGTCTGGTGAATCTGTTCAGGACAGCTGGTTGAAATATTATTATGATATGTTAAATTCATAGATAATATATTGAATCATGTCAATAACGAGTTAGTCCGAATAGTACAGATTGCACTTGTCATTTGAGCATCATCTCAAATACCTCCAATCAACCTCGGATTCCGCCGTCCATGCAAACAATTTCTCCCCTATAAAACCACTATATGAAAATCACAACCCAAACCATCACACTCTGCTTTCATAGCAAGAAAAAGGCACTTCCACTTCCACTCCTCGTTCGCCATAACCATGACAATTACCGCAGAGCTCATCATGATCCCAATCCCAGCAATCGGCCACCTCCCGCCGGTCTTCGAGTTCTCCAAGCGCCTCATCTCCCAAACCAATCGACTCTCTGTCACCATCGTCCTCATAAGAACCCCTTTCGCCCCTGAAATCGAATCCTTCTCAGACTCATTAGCCGCTTCCTGCGACCCAGATCGAATCAAATTCATCAGAGTCTCCGGCCCCAACATCCCTCCATTGGAATCAATCAAATCTGCCCACACGTTCTTCCCTCAGTTCCTCGATTCCCAGAAGGACGCCGTCAGAGAAGCTCTGCTGGCGGATCGCGCGAAACAGAGTGGCTCCTCTGTTTCGACGGTGGTGGTCGGCGTGGTGGCGGACATTCTGACGACCGCCGTGGTCGAAGAGGTCGGGAGAGAGCTAGAAGCTCCGACGTACCTTTTCTTCCCTTCCTGCGGAGCTGTTCTCAGCATGTTGCTCAGTTTCCCGGCGGAATTCCAGCCGACGGTGGCAGCAGGGGATCCCGACGGCGAGATTTTTTTCCCTGGCTTTGTTAACCATGTCCCCCACAGGATGCTTCCGGCGACAATCCTCGACGAGGAAGGTTACGCGGCGCTGAATGAGCATGTGGGTAGGTTCAGAGAAGTGAAGGGCATCTTGTTGAATTCGTACGAGGAGCTGGAAGCTCACGCCGTCGAGTCATTGGTGGGGAATTCGTTGCTGCCGCCGGTTTTCTGCGTCGGCCCGGTTCTCGACTTGAAAGGGCAGGGCAAATTAGGGAAAACCAGCTCCTCGATTGAGAAAATCATGACGTGGCTGGACGACCAGCCTCGAGATTCGGTGGTTTTCATGTGCTTCGGGAGCGCGGGGAGTTTCAGCGACGCTCAGCTGAAGGAGATCGCGATCGGGCTCGAGCTCGAGCTGGCAGAGGACCGGCGGTTCTTGTGGGTGATGCGCGAGTCGCCGCCGAAGGAAGCTTTCGGGATGCCCAAGGATTACATCGACTACTCCGAGTCTGCTCTGGCGGGGCGCCTGGGAGAAGGGTTTCTGGAGCGGACGAAGGGGAGAGGGATCGTGTGCGGGTGGGTCCCCCAGGCCGCGGTGCTGGCCCACGAAGCGGTCGGAGGGTTCGTGTCTCACTGCGGGTGGAACTCGACGCTGGAGAGCCTGTGGCACGGGGTGCCCGTGCTGGCCTGGCCGATGTACGGAGAGCAGCAGATGAACGCGTTTTACCTGGTGACGGAGCTGGGACTGGCGGTGGAGATGAGGGCGGACTACAGGATGGAGGAAGGCAAGGTGGTGAAAGGCGAGGAGGTCGCGAGGAAGATGGAGCTGCTGATGGATGGGGAGGGCGAGGTGAGAAGGAAAGTTAAGGAGATGAGTAAAGCTGCCAGACGCTCAGTGGTCGAGGGTGGTTCCTCCTTTGATGCTTATGGTGGGTTTATTGATTTGGTCATGAAGAACAAGCCTATAGATTGATTTGGTTTGTCTTTGTCATGTTGGGTAAGAAATATTTTATGTGGAGCTTATAGCCTTTTGGATTCATGAGCAAGGTTTAGGGGAAGAGTTCATGACATTAGGGGCAATTGTGTAATTTTAGCTTCTCTTGGATTTAAGGGATTGTTTGGTAGTTCAAAATAAAATAGAGTAACATTTCGATCAGAATTCTACAATTTCCACACACATAATGATGATTCAGTCTCATTCCTAATAACGACTTTCCATGTTGAGATTTGAAGTGAGATATTTAGCAAATACATGTAATGATAAGATTAGGTCGGTTTTTTTCCCACATTGAGTTGGAATGTATGTAGTAACTTTTTGTTGGGCCCACCTATAATCACTCAAAATGAATGATTGTAAATATCTACCAAAATGTTAGATTGTCAACAAGGTATTGTCTACCCTACTTTTTGTTTCATCATTGCCCTCCAAACAAAGTATTTTCCTAATACATGCATTGAATCTACATATCAAATGACAATACACAAATTGAACAAATGCATCTATCTGGAGAATCTCAACCTCCAAACATGCGATGTATCCTGGTAGTGGACATCTGGGTATGTAGACGGGCTAGTCCAGTGTGCTCCGCATTGGGTTTTTGGTGGCCCGTTGTTGATCAACGAGGCCCAAGGTCTTAATCTAAGTCTTCTTCCCCAACTCTTCATAGAACCCCATTAATCTATGTCTTGTTTTTATCGGCACGCCACTCACAGCGTTCTCTCTCCATCACGCCACTCAGAGCCTTCTCGATCTCCTCCCTTGTCAATAGTGATGACGATTTCTTATTTGACTAGTACGATCTGATCTACCCGACCAGTTTAGTGCATATATTATCCGCCAGTAGTAGTATGGGATGGTACATAGTATTATTGTCGACCTACCTTGCCTTGTCCTGTCTCGTTCTCGACTTGTTTTTATCATATTTTGCATTAATATCCACTTATATTTCTCTCTGTTTTTATCTTTTAACACCATATTTTCATCCCGACAAATACTTTATTTGTCAACTATTTAGACAATTACTATCATTAATATTTGAAGACACACTTAGATTGGAAGAATATAAATATTGAAGTACCCACACATTGCCATCACTCCGTAGTCTACTTCTTGTCCGGTAGTCCAACCTGAGCTTTCATTAGTGTAAAAGTCTAGTGTACATATTATGTAGATTGTATTACAATATTCACAAAATCATATTGTATCAGCTTATTATATCAATTAAAATCATAGAAGAAATCAAACAAAGGAGTTCGATTTAGCATAGTCCATGAAACCGTACCGGAGACCGTACCGAGTAAGTCGGCGGTAGGGTATTTTATGGTAAAACTGTGGTTTAACCGTAGTTTAACCGTTTTACCGGTAAATACGCATATCGATTTAGCCTCCGATACTGGTATTTCGTGGTTAAACCGTCGGTATGGTACGGTTTCATGGACACTGCGATTTAGTCGTTTTAGTGGAAAACAGGGTGTGCTTAAACCAGAGACATCATAATTTAGCGGTTTTAACTTTCAGTGGAAACCCCAAGTGGACGGAAACTCCCAAGATTCCAACTTTGACCAGCCGGCGGCCGACCACAAGCCTCCACATCTTTACTTAAAAAGAGCGCTAAAAGAGGAAACCCGCAAACCCCACTAATCTGAATGCCCCAAACCCCTGCCAGAGAACGAAAGACAATAATGAGCAACAAGGAGCTCTTGTTCGTCCCGGCGCCGACCGTCAGCCACGTCTCGCCGGCGGTGGAAGCAGCCAAGCTCCTCCTAACCCACGACCGCCGCCTCTCCGTCACCTTCTGCCTCTTCAACATGCCCTTCGACCCAAAACTCGCCCAATACAACTCCTCCCTCGCCCTCTCCTCGCCCCGCGACCCGCGCCTCGCGTTCGTCATGCTGCCGGACTTCCGACCCGACCCGAATTCGACCCGGATCGAGCTCTTCGCCTCCGTCGTCGCCGCCCAGGAGGGCCGCGTCAGGGAGGTCGCCAGGGGGATCGTCGCCCGGAGTGCCGGGTCGGGTTCGGGTAACCCGCTGCTGGCGGGGTTCGTGTTCGACATGTTCTGCTCGGCGCTGATGGGGACGGCGGCGGAGTTCGGGGTTCCGGCGTACGTTTTCTCCCCGCCGAACGCCACCTTCCTGGGATTCGTCTTCCACGTGCAGAAGCTTCACGACGAGGAGCGGGTCGACACGACCGAGTTGCCGGACTCGGTCGGCGAGCTGGCGGTTCCTTGTTTGACCCGCCCCGTGCCCAGGTGGGCCCTGCCTGACGTGGTGGCCGACAAGGTATGGCTGCCGATTATGTTGGGGCATACTAGGAGGATAAGGGAGGCTAAGGGTATTTTGGTCAACACGTTTCGCGAGCTGGAATCGTATGCGCTCGACTCCATGGGTGGTGATGATTGCATCCCTCCGATCTACCCAGTGGGGCCTGTTGTGAACCTGGAGATCGACGATGTCGTTTATGACGATCGGACGAACGAGATCTTTCGCTGGCTGGATGATCAGCCGGAGTCGTCAGTTGTGTTCCTGTGCTTCGGGACCATGGGGAGATTCGGTGGGGACCAGGTGGGGGAGATTGCACGTGGGCTGGAGCGGAGCGGACATCGCTTCCTGTGGGCCCTGCGTCGACCTCCGTCGGATCACGAGCCTACGGGCAGCGTTCCTGTGGATTACGACGATCTGACGAATATTCTTCCGGAAGGATTCTCAGATCGGACGGTTGGGAATGGACGAGTGGTAGGATGGGTCCCACAAAAGGCGGTACTGGCCCACAAAGCGGTAGGAGGGTTCGTGTCGCACTGCGGGTGGAACTCGATCCTGGAGAGCCTGTGGTTTGGTGTGCAGGTCGCGGTGTGGCCAATGTACGCCGAGCAACAGCTGAATGCTTTCCAACTGGTGGTCGAGTTAGGGCTGGCGACGGAGATAAAAATCAGCAACAGGATGACGGGCGATGACAAAGATATCGTGAGCGCGACGGAGGTCGAGAGAGGGATCAAACGCCTGATGGAGGAAGGTGTGGAGGAGAGGCGAGCAAAGTTGAAAAAGATAAGTGAGATTGCCAGAAAGACGTTGATGGACGGTGGTTCTTCATTCACTTCGACAAATCATTTCGTTCGAAATGTACTTGATTAATATCCCATCGGCCATGATTATCAAAATATCAGTTACTCATTGTTCTTAAGCATGCCATGTAATGTGATGGAAAAACAGGGGAGTTACGTTGCTGAACTACTTAAACACATGGCTTTCCTTTGGGAAAACATAAGACTTGACTTCATTAAGGAAACTTAACATGCTTAATCCGTTGTTGCCAAGAGATGCCTTTTAGAAAGAGTGTTGACGGATATCACATGTGAGCTCTATAGTGGAAAAGATGGTGGAAACAAGTTCTTAGGCAGCTGTTATTATCAAACAATTGGTATAATCATCCCTGTGATATCAAGTATTAATCCAATATTTATTTCGGTGGCAATTAGCATCCAAATTCATGAAATCAATCCAATTCATCCACTAAATTATTCACATAAACCAATCCATTTAAATCCAAATCCAATTGAATTGGTGAATTCATAGATTGATCCATGAATTCAAATGACAAATTACGATTTAGTGCTTACAATTTTTATATTTTACATTTGGCACCTAAAATTTATTTTTTAATGAAAAACATCTTTGTAAAATTACGTTTTGGTACCTACTTTTTTTTGTTATGACATTTTAGTACCTAAAAATTTCAAATTTTACATTTTAGTCCAAGACTTGAATGTCATTTGGATTCATGAATTCACCGATCCATGAATCCAATTCATTTGCCACCTCTAATTTCCAATTACAAAATTACGGTCTGGTTAGTAACTTGTAATTGTTGTGATTAACGTTCAAGATGATCCTCCAACGATCAAGTATAAAGAATTTGTAGATGTCACATGGAAAAATGTCCTACAACATTTGCCATTTTGAGGGAAAATTATGAAGGGGGCAAAAATGTCATAGGGTTCATTGTATTTGTCGCAACTCGCAAGTGGTCATCACCTCCAAATTCCAATGAGTAAAGGTCGAATAGATTATCCAAGATTCAAGCTTTGATCTAAACCAAGAGCCGCCGGCGCGAGATCTTTCCTTAAAAAGAGTGTTCAGAAATGGAGATGGCCGCAAAACCAATTATCCCATCCAAAGAAATGGATTCGATGACTGCCAATAAGGAGCTCTTGTTCATCCCGGCGCCGACCGTCAGCCACATCTGGCCGGCGGTGGAAGCAGCAAAACTCCTCCTCACCCACGACCTCCGCCTCTCCGTCACCGTCTGCCTAATCAACATGCCCCTCGACCCTAAACTCGCCCAATACAATTCCTCCCTGACCCGATCCGCCGACGGCCCGCGCCTCCAATTCGTCCAGCTGCCGGAAGTCCGACCCGACCCGAACCCGACTGGAGTCGGGCACTTCTTTTCCGTCGTCGCCGCCCAGGAGATCCACGTCAGGGAAGTCGCTAAAGGTATCGTCGCTCGGAGCGGGTCGGGTTTGGATGGCCCGAAGCTTGCCGGGTTCGTCGTCGATTTGTCCATCTCGACGATGATGGGTGTGGCGGAGGAGGTCGGAGTTCCGGCGTACGTGTTCTCTCCGGCGAACGCCACTTTCCTGGGATTCATATTCCACGTCCAGAGGCTTTACGACGAGGAGCGGGTCGACACCACCGCCGGGTTGCCCGACCCGGTGGGCGGCGAGCTGGCGGTTCCTTGTTTGACCCGGTCTGTCCCATGGTGGGCCCTGCCGGACGTTGCCGTCGATAAGACGTGGCAGGCCATTATGCTGGAACACACGAGAAGGATAAGAGGGGCCAAGGGTGTTTTGGTAAACACATTTCGGGAGCTGGAATCGCATGCGCTCGACTCCATGTGTGGTGCCCAAGATGATGACGTCCCTCCCGTCTACCCTGTGGGACCCATCGTGAACTTGGAGGTCGACGATGTTGCTTATGATGATGATCGGACGAATGAGATCTTTCGTTGGTTGGATGATCAGCCTGATTCGTCGGTTGTGTTCCTGTGCTTTGGGACCATGGGAACCTTTGGAGAGGACCAAGTGAGGGAGATTGCGTATGGGTTAGAGCAGAGTGGGCATCGATTCTTGTGGGTCCTACGTCGACCTCCGTCAGATCACGAGCCAAAGAGCAACATCTCGACGGATTATGATGACCTAATCGATATCCTTCCTGAAGGATTCTCTGATAGGACGGTCGAGGCGGGACGAGTGGTCGGGTGGGCTCCACAGAAGGCGATACTGGCCCACAAAGCGATTGGAGGGTTCGTGTCACACTGCGGGTGGAACTCGATCTTGGAGAGCTTATGGTTTGCGGTGCCGATCGCAGCGTGGCCAATGTACGCCGAGCAGCAGCTGAATGCTTTCCAGCTGGTGGTCGAGCTGGAGCTGGCGACGGAGATGAAGCTGAGCTACAGGATGAAAGGCGAAAACGACATGATCGTGAGCGCGAGCGAGATCGAGAGAGGGATCAGACGTCTAATGGAGGAAGGCATGGAGAAGCGAGTGAAGTGGGAAGAGATGAGTGAGATGGCAAGAAAGACGTTAATGGTCAGTGGATCTTCGTTTTCTTCGACAGGCCGTTTCGTTCGAGATTTTCTTGGTTAATATCTTCTTATCCACCCAACTAGGGTTACTCACTCTTCTTAAACATGCATTGTGAATTTGTGATGGAAAATAAAACTAGTTGTACTTCTCTTTGGGAAAGGAAAAGGCGTGACTCACAAGTCACAAGTAGGTGGTTTAGGACCACGATGTAACAAGACAAACACTTCTCTAGTCGAGTTAATCAAGGCAACATGACTTGTTTAATCCGCCGTTGCCTAGTGATTAAGAAAATCAAAGTAGTTGAAATGGACCTACGACTTTGAGTCATGGGCGCCACGTATTAGCTATATCATGGAAAAGAACGTGGAAACAAGTTTTAAGTAATGATCGTTAGGAGCAAATTTAAAAAGCACCAGTAATGAATTGGTTTCATCATTGCTACAAGATTATGGTTCGATTTTCTTTATGATGTAACGGATTTGATCAAGTCTGTGTCTCTAAGTGTTCGTACTCAAACAAACTCTTCGCGGTCAATTTCGGACAAGATTCTGATCCAACTAGCTTCTTCTTATGTAGTTGTTGTGGTCAAGTGAACTCTAAGAATTAATGTTCAAAAGGACCATATGATCGACGATCACGTCCAATGTGATAAATTAAGTAGAGGTAATATGGAGAAATGTACCATTGTAAGAAAAATACATAAAAATGTAATGAAACATTTTATCAGCCGGAGAGATAATGAATTGTTTATAGAGAAAACACGAGTGTTATAAGGTTATTAAGTAAGCGATCATAGTTAAGTCCAACTAAACATTTTTGCTGCTTTAAAGTTTTATACAATTGTTTCTAAATGTATAAAAAAAATATACCTTTTTGTCAATATTTGATAGTATATAAGCATTATGATAACCTGCCTACAAAACAACTTATTACACAACACTCACAATAAGCTATAACTAATCATGTTTAATTATTTAAAACCAAGATCATGATTATGCCAGCTCATGGATGATACTAGATTCTCTTAGCAACTCATTGCCAACCAAACATCAACTGCTCTTTAACAAATCTTTGTTCCATGTGAAATAGAATCCAAACACAAAATGTCTAGCTCCATAAACCCCACATATATCACTTTCTAACTTATAAATTTATATTTCCATATAGAAAAAATTTCTATAATTCTATATTTTTTAGAAAAAATTTCAATAAAGTCTCCATCAGCTATCTACTACACTATTCTAGAGGATAACACTCCTGTCTTTTTCTTTTTTTCATTACAGATAACCTCAAAAATAATTTCATAGAACACAACTTGCACACTCAATACCGACGTGGCAAAAGGCCATTCGTCCAAACCATCAAAATTTGATTGAAATAGAGGAAAATAAAATATTTTAGATGTAATGGAAGAGTAAAGACAACTAGAACAAGTGGAACATATATATATTAGATAGGGACTGTATGGTTTTTTGAGGAACCAAATGGGAATCGCCATGTGCATTGTAGACAATCACAGCTACAAACTTCTCATCTTTCACATGTTCTTCTCCATCAATGTATGGTATGGAAGTAAGGCAAAATCGATATAGAATCGAATCGAAAATGAACGAGACGTGGAGTTGAAATATCAACAATTTAGTTGGCTCATTATAGAATGTCCCTCTGATTTTGTATTGAAGCTCAAATAAATGCATGGTTTCAATCCGATTTGAACAATTTCAAGATTTTTGTTAAGATGTGAACCTAATCGTTCGACTCCTAAAAGAGTAAAAAGCTAGAAATGAATACATTTCAACCAAAAATAAAATGACCCAAATTTCCCACTCATTAACTCAAATACAACAACAATGTTCTCCCCTATCTATCTCCTCCAACTAACAAATCAAAACCATCTCCATCCAACCAACCAACCACCACAAGCCAGAAGCTTTGCTTCAAACCGCAAATCCTTACCCGATCAGGACTACTACCATCTCCTAACAAATCTGTCAAGGTTACTACTTCCTTTTCCAACACACATTGACAAAAGGGAGGGAAAGAGAAGAAGTAGTATTGCCAACAAAAGAAGAATGAACAACAATACAAACACATCCATAATCAAGCTCACTCCACAACCCATCATGTACAAATTCATGGCCCTAGTAAAACTATCACCACCATCGATCATCATCACCTCCCATCGGCGGAGGTAAATGAATCAGCGAACCCATACGGTCTGGTGGGAATGCTGGTCTGAGTGTTGTCCAGGCTCGGGAGGAGCGAAGAAGACGATGACTCCATGTTGCCTCGACCCTCGTAGGCTTGCCATTTCTTCAGTGCCTGTGGCAACGACATGTCTAGATCGATCCCATAGATGTCGTCCGAGTTCTGATCTGTTGGTTTCCAGAGCTCGACGAGGGAGGACAGGACGTTAACTGCATGGCCCATGTCCGGCCTCTGGTAAGGCTCTCTGGCGCAGCAGTGCCCTGCCAGCTCAGCTACGGTGCTGATGCTCGCTAGGGTTTCTTCGTTGAGGTCTAGCGTAGGGTCGATGGCCTTTCGGAATGTGTCCTTGTTGAGGGACATTCTCTTGAACCATGTCACTAGATGCATGCTCTCCTCTGGCTGGGTTTCGTCTAGAGCCCTTCTCCCAGTGATTAGCTCCATTAGTATCACGCCGAAGCTAAAGACATCGACTTTGGTAGTCACTCTTCCTGTGACTGCATTTGCGAGTGGAAAATGTCAGCTTGATGATTCTCTACCAATCATATTGTTACAAACACCATAATTCAGTGACCATTCAAGCATCTAGCTATTCAATCTCACAACTAAAGAATCTAAAATCCAGTCAAATAAGTAAAGCAAACTAAAATGAGTTTTACCTGCATATTCTGGTGCCAAGTACCCGAAAGTTCCAGCAATCCTAGTTTCAATGGACCCTTTCCCCTCTGGTGCAAGACGAACAAGGCCAAAATCAGCTACCTTTGCCCTCATATCATCCCCAAGAAGAATGTTGGAAGGTTTCAAGTCCCTATGTATGAAACTCTGATGCGCCAGGCCATGAAGGTACTCGACACCCCTCGCCACATCCAAAGCAATCGTCAGTCTCCTCGTCCAATCTAACGGACTGAACCCCTCCTCTGCCCAGTTGAAGATATGCTGACTAAGCGTCCCCTGTGGCATGTACTCATAGACAAGTAGCTTCTCATTTCCATCAAGGCAGTACCCTAGCAATGCCACAAGGTGGCGATGCCTAACTTTGGTCAAGACAGCAATCTCCGACGTGAACTCAGTCAACCCTTTCCCGCTTATCACCCCTGACTCCATCCTCTTCACAGCAATTTTCGTGCCATCATGGAGCTCGCCTTTGTAGACCACTCCAAACCCTCCTTGCCCTAGTATGTTCTTCTCACTGAAGTTGTCAGTCACGTTCCTCAGGACTTGAATGGAAATGACCATGTTCCCTGATTCAACCATTTGAATACCCCCATGCTCGCTTGTTGGAATGGTGTGTGCCTCGCTGACTGCTCCCACGCTGACACTCGAGCCAGCAACCGTGATCTTGACACTCTCGTTGTCTGAACCTGAGTGGCGAGGATGCACAACCATTGCATTGGGGCTCTGAACCCTGCTGAACCTCTTCTGCTTCTTTTGATACAGACAGAAGACCAGCAATCCAATAAGAAACAGTATGAACACACCACCAATGACGGAGAGCACAATTACCCCGACATTAGAGGATGATTTCTTCACCCCGTTTCGGGAGCTTCCATCTGAATTCGAACCAGTTGCTTGACCTCCTGATGAAGAACCATCTGGCGGCTGACTACTGATATCCTTCCCAATATCTTTGTTCCCATTGGTATTCAAATCAATCTTGTTCTTAAAGACTGGAACTTTACCAGAAATCTGATTGTTTGCAACATCAAGCTCTTTCAGCATAGGCAGTGAAGCAAGCTCCTGAGGGATTGTACCAGTCAAGTTGTTATCAGCAAGAACCAACCTCTGCAGCGAGGTAAGCAATGCGAAATCAGGCGAAATAGTGCCCGAGAGGCCCATCTTCTGGAAGTTGACAACAGTAATGTTGCCACCACTGCAAGAAATCCCAATCCAATCAGCACAAGGATCATTCCCCTTCCAATTCTCAGCAAGCCTCTGAGGGTAACCAAGAGGCCTCACGATGGAGAGCAACGTATCGACCCTCGAATCACATGGTCCAGGCGTAGGCAAGCAGAAACTATTGGAATCCTTCGTCATATCCACAGCAACCGAGCTCTTGAACTCGGGCACCGGCCCTTGGAACAAGTTGTTGGTCAAGTTCACCACTTTGAGTGAATCCAACTTGGTCAAGGATTCGGGGACAGGACCAGAGAACGAATTGTCTCTCAAGCTCAAGCTCTCCAAACTTGTCAACCCAGAAAAGTCGGGCAAAGGACCATCGAACCCATTATCATGAAGCCAAACTTCCTTCAAAGAAGTCATGTTCCCCAACACATCAATTCCCCCAGTGAGCTTACCTACACTCTTCTGCCCATTCACCCAAAATGACTGAATTTGCGAACCAGCAAGCGCCACAGGCAAAGCACCCTCCAGATTGTTAAAAGCCAAATGCAGGGTTTCCAAACCAGGGAAAGCATCAGAACCGAAATAATCAGGAATCGGCCCAGAAATATTGGCAGAATTAGCAGAGAAATTCTGCAGGGCAGAAGCATTCTTCACACTCTCGGGAATCTCCCAGCTGGAAAACGGGTTGTTGTCAATTTCAACGGACTGAAGAAAGGAGCAACCTTGGAAGAAATCGCTGGGAATCGAAGTGAACTGGTTGTTGCTCAGCATCACCACGCGGAGCGAACCCAACCCGCTCAAACTGGGCAAAGGACCCGAAATGCTGTTCCACTGCAGCTCCAGCCGCTCCAGCATAGTCAAGTTGTGGAGATCTGGTGGGAGCTTACCTTTGAGACCCAATCGCCCGATTTGAATCCGAACGACCCGGTTATCTTCGGAGCAGCCCACATGGTCCCATCGGCATGGATCCGGGTCGGACCACCCGATATCCGGGGAGTTGAGGCTCTCCTTGAGAGCAAGCATTACTGGCGCGTCTTCAGTTAAGGAGCTCACGAGCGAGAAAATCGAACAGAACCCAGAAATGAAAACCAGGTAAAGACTGAAGCTGGAGCTGAAATGGGACTTCTTCTTCCTCGCCATGACTTATCACTTTTTCCCCCAAAAATCAAAAGAAGGAGGAAGAAAACAGGGGAAAATTTTCAACTTTCAAGTTGAGTTTCTTTTTTTAAGTGAGAAAGCAGCTAAGCTCGGTTCAAGCTGGAAGTACTCTAGGCCATGGAAGGACGAGGGGGGAAATGGAGAGAAAGGAGAGGAAAGATTGGAGCTTTTTCTCTGGGTGGGTTTTTAGGGGTTGGAAAGATGGAAAGGAGGAGCAGGTGGTGGGAAAGGAAAGGTGCTGCAATTGAGAAGAAAGCACATGGGGTTGTGGGGGAGAAGGCAAGGAAAGGAAAGGAAAGGGAGGATTGGGGAAGAAAGAAGGCAAAGGTGAAGAAGGGTGGTGGTGGTGGTGGGCCGACAGAGTCCCAGAATATAAAAGCTGTCATAACATGGTTTTACGTGGAAAATCTGAAATTTTTATCGTTTTTTCTTTCCTCATTTGATTTTGAAGGTGTAAAAGCTTATATATTTAAAAATAAATTGGATGGATATCTCCTTTTGGATTTCAACTGGAAAGTGGAAAGCACCGGAATTAGCCTATTATTTGTGGCTTTTTATTCCGGTTGTCATCTCTTCGAGTTCATACCAATTTTATAATATGGTTTCTATCGCTATCAGTTTGTTTTTGTTATCAGCAGCAGCAGCATCAAACTACAGTTGTATGGTTGATGGATTTGAAGACTCCAAAGTTGGAACCTCTATGGCTATATCCCAGTTGCAGATTCTTGACCCGAGCCAGTCATAGCCACAGACTGAACCAACATTGGCACCATCGTCTCGATCATCTTAGCCCACATGTTGGTCCTTGTTCGTTACACGATTGAGAGAGTTATAGTTTGGTCGTCAGTTATTGTATGGTTGTTGCTTGTTACTGTTTCAACTTGTAATTAATAATGCCTAGCCCTCGCTCACAATAAATGATAGTAGATATCTGTGATGAAGACTCTAGAAATATGAACGACTGGATTAGTTCGATAATGTATTCACTCATACTTAGAGATATGAATCAAATCAAGGCTTCCCATATGACACAAAATGGACCAGCAAAGTTTTGAACTTTGGGTATCCATCTCTCAAAAATTAAGAGCAGAGCTACACTCTCTCAAAACTCATATCCCACAACTGTTAACAAACTATCTACTTTACAACCTGAAAGTGAATTCCGAATCAAACCCTATTACATACCCAATAAAAAATACCAAGAAGGAAAAAAGTGTTAATAGATTAAAGGAGGGAGAGATCATCATCGTTTTCCTTCAAAAGTTGTTTTCTTCTCGTCGTTTTCATCAGTACTTTCGTCGGTACTGCACTGTTGTTCATCATCGTAATACTCTTCCTCACCATCTTCATACTCATACTCGTCTTCGTCATCATCATCGTAATAATATTCCTCGTCATCGTCTTCGTCGTCCTTGCCATTTAGGAGCATCTCCTCGGATTCCTGTCCCATTAATCGTTCTTGAATTCGATCTCTAATGGCTGTGCCCTGAAATCAAGAGAAAGGTTGGGTTGTTGTGATTGTAGAATACCTCCCAAGAGTCCGGATAGAGACTTCCCTTTCGATTTCGGTTTGCATAGGGGCTTAAGGAAGAAGAGAAGAGAGGAGAACTACTAACCATTTTATGGCAACCTTCCTCAAACATCTCAAGGAAACCAACAACCCAGCGATTAGCATTGTCCACCCATTCATTACGATGCATTGCCACTGTTTGAATCTGAAGGATGGAAAACGAATACATACGAAGCACATTGAACTTACCATTAGAGCATAGCAAGAAAAGATAACAAATTCTCCAATGGCAGAGGAACCATAGATTGTTTAAAGATGCAAGCATTCAAAGAAGGAAAGATTATGCGTTCGAAGCTTCAAAGGACAGATAATGGAACATGTTTGCAATTTCGACCATTCTGAAAAATTTAGCCATCTTGGATGCTCATTGATCATTGCAGAAATCAAGCAAACATAGCCAAGCAAAAACCTCCCTTTCTGATGATCAGGGAAGGGACAACAGTATCCAACACAACAAAAACACACCTTTTCTCCAACTTTCTCTTGTTGTTCTTTCACTTTCTCCTGTAGTTTCTTCAATCTCATATTGACCCTCAGTCGTTTTTCCTGATTACCAAAACTGGGAAAGTCAGGATTTGATATTTCTCTTTCGCAAGAAATAAAAAAAATGGCTAGACAACACAATAATGCAGCACGTTGTCCAGACAGGAGACATCCAGCCATACCTTTACATAGCTAACACCAAGTTCCTTTCGCGTATATCCTCTGTCCAAATTGCGTATAACATACTGATTGTAGTCTTTCAGAATCCTCATTATAATATCTGATGTAGAAATCCCATCAGTTCTTTTAGTTTCTTTAAATCTCCCAACTTTTTTAACCTAAAGTAGAGCCACACAGAAACCATAAATCATCTGCTGAGAGAAAAGCAAACACCAATAAGAAAACCAAAACTCCACCGCTGGACTTACAAATTCATAAACATCATTCCCAGCTCCACTTGCATCTGCATATCTACACACACAAGAGATAGTGTTCATCGTCCTCTAAATTTCACATAATCCAACAAAAAGATAGTGTAATATTCATTTTTGGCCCCCAGTATCCCTCAACATGGTTATTAATCAAGAGAGCTCGGATTGAATCCTGGTATTCCGGATACTAATATAGGATTCATTATTGGACCTTCCACAACAGCTCGGATTTTTAAGATGAACGAGTTCTTGACACAGATTGATCTAACACTAAGAAATGAGAACCATTCATATCATCCTAGATTCAAACTCTAACGACATTCGCCTATATAAAATGAAGACATTGCTCCACGCCTCCATGACAACCCGAAGTGGTTGATCTAGGGGTAATGGAATGAAAGGGTGAACAATGAACATTCTTCGCACCTAGGTTCAAATCTCAGGCAACCACCAATAACAATAACACTTAACGAATATGAATCCACTAATGGTTTCCAATGATCAATGGGAAATTCTAATCAAACAAAATGCACAAAGGAGCTAACTGCTGAATACAAAATTGAAGGTGACCAGAGCAGGGAGCAAACATACGGCAGGGCGTCATGAGCCACATAATCAATTTTGTGCTTGTCAAGAAACTCCTGGTTGATTACCCATGGCGCATCCGTAATGACTTCATCCACCCACCTACAAATACAAAGACAACAAAGATCCATCCACACTTTCAGATCGTTCACAAATCCAATCCCCCGAACCAGAGAATTCAGTCAAATTTTTTCCTGGTTTCAGCAGCCAATTTACTTGCAATGGCGAAGCGATTCGTAGCGCTCGGCTGCCGTCATCACCGTCTTCCCTTTGTACTTGTACGTGATCTCGTCGTTGCAGCACCCGACGAGCAGGTACGCGTTCGGAAACCTTGCGAATCAAATCATTAATTTTGTCACAACCAAATCCAAGCTGAGATGAAGCTGAGAGAGGAGGAGGGAGAGAAAGGAAGGACGAGACGAACGATTTCTTGGCCTGCTCGAGGGAGGCGGCGTGGCCGAAGTGGAAGAGATCGTAGATCCCGTCGGCGTAGACGCGAAGGGGCCTGTCGGAGGGGACCGGTTGATCGGAATTGCCGCCGGCGCCATTGGAAGAGGCGGGATGATAACCGTTGGATTTCTTCGCGTTGTCGTCGTCCATTGGATAAAAAAGGATGCCGTCGCCGGAGAATGGAGAATTGATGCTACGGCTATTTCGCCGGCTGTCACCGATCTCCCTCTTCTTCTTCTGTATGAGAGAAAAAGGAATCTCTCTAATTTTTTCTTCCTTCTGCCTCTTCTAGAGAGAGACAGCGCGTTCTTTCCGGTTTCCGCCCTCTATATATATCGCCCGGATTAAATTTGGGAATATTTGCTTAAATGGTACTTCAATTGTGGAAATTGTACAAAATGACCACTGAACTAAATAGTTTAACAAAATGGCTGACAAACTATGGATGTTTGTATATCACGGTCTAATTCATTTATTTTCATAACACACCATCTAATTCTCGTTTTTCATTCAAAAAATTATAATGATCCGCAGCTGCACGCTAGTATTTTTTTCTTCAACCCATGACATTGAGGTTCGAATCTAACGTGTGATGCATATTATATCTCTCCATATTACAGTCAGGTTAACCCCTCAGAACGCACAATATAAATTTTCTTTTCAATCAATCCATTAGATTCTTTTAAATGATGGTTGACTTTGAGGGTTCGAATCTAACATGTGATGCATGTTGTATCTCCACGTTATAGTCAAGTTAACCCATTATAATCCAATTCTGTAAATTTTTCTGCTTATATAATGGATAGAAAATGTAACATGAGCAAGTATCGTATGATTAAGTGAGAGCACAAACCGACTTTTGAAGTTAGAATTCAATGTACAACCAACCCAAACACGAGACAAGATGATTTTAACTGGCTAAGTCAACCATTGATCTGCGTCAATGAAGGACATGTCGAGGAAAGGAGCAGCCAATGTATCATTAAGCTTCTGTACATATGGTGCCCTCAGGCTCAGATTAGCACCTGCACCACTGCAATTGTACTCCCCGTAGAAGATTGTCCTGCATTAATCCATTCTTAACTCGTAATTAACATGTAATTAACCAATGATAATTAACTGTTTTTTGGTTTGGACTTACTGGTCTCTGGCTGGGTCGTTGAAGTCATTCCAGCCTTCAGGGGCGACGATATCGGCCATGGCCGTATTGGCGAAAACCACTCGAGAGAAAGGCCTCCAGGCCCGGCCCAACCAGATCCGGCCCGTGCCTCCCAGGCTGCAGTTCACGAACGCAAAGCCCGTGTTCTCGTCCTTGGATGCCCTCCCGTGGGCCGTCACCGCCCCGTTTATGGACCTCACCCCTGGGCCCACTGGGGTCGCCATCGATATCAGCTGGCAGTTCTGTCAGCATTTGTGAAAATCATTAGACAATTTGAACGTATGGTTGGCGGATGATCACTCTTCCTTTAACCATAGGGTTAGAAATTTGATTTAGGTGAAATTAGAGTTCAATCTATATGTACTAATACTTCGTACGATCACTCATGATAGGAGTTAGTCACCGTTATACGAGGTTAAATTAAATTACGTATACTAACCTGATAGAGGGACCTCGCATTACCGAAGATAAAATCAATCGACCCTTGGATGTAACAATCCCTATACAAATGTCGCCCCCTGTCGTCGTGAAGTGTGTCCTGCGCTCCGAAGAAGCCACAGCTCGAGAAAACTGCCTGGTCTCCCGAAACCCTAATGGCCACCGCCTGAGCTCCGACGTCTCCAGGCCCGGGAATCGGAGCAACGTTCTAGTAATACATGCATGCACGAAGACAACGTTACTCAGTTTCAATAGAGAAGTGTATCCATATGTATACTATTCGTTGTTGATTTTGGTCGCTAAATGTATACCATGAAGCTTATGCCGTTGGCGACGAACCTATCGGAGAAGACCTGTACGGAAGCGCTGTAGAACGTGCCGTGGGCTGAAAACGCGGTGTCGTTCCATGCGATCGCCGTGGAAGTGTAGCCTTGCCCTTGAAACGTGATGTTCGGTTTGGTTCTCGGCACGACCACTTTCTCGCTGCGGCCACGGGCAGTTCACTTATTAGCCACCAACTAGTTACCGCAATAGTCGGTTGCAAATGATATTCGGTGATTAATTAGTAAGCTTACTAGTAAATCCCGGAGTTTATCCAGATAATGCTCCTCTTCGGGCTCATGTTGGGGACGGCGTCAATGGCGGCTTGCACGGTCGTGAAATTGCAGCACCCGTTCCTGTCAACGCAGATCGTCGTCGTGGTGTTGGTATCCGGTGGCGGAATGTCCGGTGGGAAGTCGTCGCAAATGCTCGCCGGCTTCGGCTTGGGGCCTCCGCCGCCGCCGTCCGTCGGGCGCTTTTTCTTGTGGCTGCGGTGAATGATAGAAGGAATAGATAGATCGTGAAACTGGGATGCAAGCCTTTCCAGGCGATCAGTGACCAGCTCTTTGAAATCAGTAATTAGTGACGGCAGGGTGAAAAAGCCGTCGCTATTGGTGTTATTAGCGACGAGTACGGAGGATGCGAGGAAAGCGAAAATGGCGACTAGGACGGCGAGGGAAAGGTTTTGGAATTTGAAGTTACCCATTTAACTAAATGAATAGTTCGATTCTACCTAAGGGTCACATTTGCTTTATCCTTTTATATAGGGAATAGTGGGATCAAGTGGTGGTTGGAAGTCTTTTTCCCTATGGATTAGATGATGCAAATGGATGTCTTAGAAAATCAATGAAGGATGTCCCAATCGAGAAAATTGAATCTTTAAGCTATAAGAAGGGTATGCCCAACTTTGATGGTTGGGTTAGATTTGCTTGGATTGAGAATACAAGTTAGCGTAGGGTAGTTTTAGACTCTAGGTAAGGGTATGTTTATGTATAAGTCCTCTTGCTTATTGGTTTTCTTCTTTCAAAAGAAATACTTCTTTTGTTTTCCATGTCTTACAACACAAGACGAAAGGGTCCTAGTCTGATCGGCGTCAAGATAATGTCGTAATCACAACAACGTTGGTTTCCAATCCCGTAGGTGTTTTTATCTTTTTTTTTCTCTTACTCCAAACGATACAGTGATAAGTTGTAACATCACAATTTTGAATCGTTGTCTTGTCAAAATCAAGTGGATAGTTTTGTTGTTGTTGAACAAGAATTTTGTATCAGCTAATCCAAATGTTAGCTTGGACTGTTCTGAATTATTTTGTTCACATGTCTTATAACACAGAACTAAAGAGTCATAGTTTGATCAAAATTGAAACATTGTCGGTAATCATGAATTGTTGGGTTTGTAATCTCACACACTTTTCTCTCTCTTTTTCTCCCTCCTTAGTCCTTACAATGTAGCGTTAAGTTGTAGCATCGTAGTTTCGAATCGTTGTCCATCCAAAATAATGGTTAGATATGTTCCTTTTGATTTTCCGGTTAGACATGTTCCTATTGAAGACCAATGTTCAATGTTGTATCATCTCATCTATTGGAATGGTGCTAATTACTAACCTTAAACAACAATTGTCACAAACAAATCTAGGAGACAACACATGGATCGGGCCAAGATGGGAAGCTCAATTTCATTTGGGCCTCATGGAATCCTGTTTTACGGGTTTGGGCTTGTACCAATTGGATTACCAATTGGTAATCAAATACGCTATATCATTATTTCAATAAATACCCTCCCCGCCGGCCTTCCCTTCTAATTATGACTATTAGTCTATTACAAGCATAGGAGTGGAAAATTAATTTCTTCATCCAAATGATTGCCGAATGAAAGTTAGCACATTCTGATTTTTTAAGTATATCTTGAATAAAAAGAGGGACTTTGCTACGGTGACATGCATGTCATGGTGACATGCACTTTTCGGTCGACCTCATATAGGATCAGGTCGACCTAATCAGTTGTTTCATTGTACAAACAGTTTCATGGTGCCTACTTTGGAGATTCATATCTTATAATTGGCTAGATGGAAATTGGAGATTAAAGGCTTGTTTTGAAGCTGAAGTGTCCCTCTACACATTAAAGTACTTGGGAGCTCAATAGAAAGTCCAGAATACCATTTTTGAACCTGACCAAAAGGCTATGCCAAAACTGGGAAACTGCCTGAAAATGGCTAAGTCTGGCAACGTGTTTGTCAAGCCTACTTTGGAGCTCAATTTGACAAGCATGGATGCGAGTCAAGTCCAGGGGCCTTTACCATGTTAAATTACGTATTTTTTTATACAAAGGCAAGGCATTGAATGAAAGATTGAATATATTTAAGGCTTCAAACAAAAGGCTCGAAGTTGCTACGAAGGCTGTTTTTCTGGCAGCTTGCTTGTGCTCGAAGTCTACCAGAAAAACAGCCTTCGTAGCAACTTCGACCCTTTTGTTTGAAGCCTTAAAGATATCCAATCTTTCATCCAATTCCTTGAATTTGTATAAAAACATACCTAATTTAACGTGGTAGAGGCTCCTGGACTCGACTCGCATTCATGCTTCTCGAATTGAGCTAAAAAATAGGCTTCACAAACACGTTTCCAGACTTAGCCATTTCTAGGCAGTTTCCCAGTTTTGGCATAGCCTTTTGATGAGGTTCAAAAATGGTCTTCTGGACTTCCTATCGAGCTCTCAATCACTTCAATATGTAGAGGGACACTCCAGCTTCAAAACAAGTCATTAGTCTTCAATTTCCATCTAGCCAATTGTATGATATGAATATCCAAAGTAGGCACCATGAACTGTTTTTACACTGAAACAACATATTAGGTCGACCGGATCCTATATGAGGTCGACCGAATCCTAAATGAGGTCGACCGGATCCTATATGAGGTCGACCGAATTCTATGTGAGGTCGACCTAATCCTAACTGAGGTCGACCGGAAAGTGCAAGTCACCGTGACATGCATGTCACCGTAGGCACACCCTAAAAAGAGTTACCTGCGATTACAAAATCAACAAATCATATATCATCGTCTCATAAATAAAATATATTTTGTCAAAATATATTTTGTTGAAACTTCAAGACGTTGTGATTATCTTTTGGAGTATTCCATTATATTAATTAAGTGGCTAGAAACTAATATTTATGAGGACTTGGAAAAGTAGTGAATGCTTAGGAAACAAGGCAAAGGATCATGAAACAGTGGGTTGGATTGGATACCCTTTTGCCATCCACCACAGAAGCCAAGTTTAACAAGTCAAGATCAACCCCATCTTTTCACAAAACTACATCCACATACACATAGCAAGAAGAAACATTTTTCATTTATTTTCCGTTTTATAATTCTCATTTTTAATATTGGTTTACGCAAAATCAGAACAATATGATTTGACTCACAACTTGACCTGATCTTTACGAGTCATTCACACTGTTATTTTCTGTGTATATTCTTTGTCCAAGTTTGTTTTCTCCAAAAGACTATAGATGACCTACACTAACAGCTGGCTATCTTCCTAATTTAGAATAACAATAACTATTACCAGATTAGATAAATACTCAATTTTACTCTTCTTATTGTTGCAATATATGACATATTTCTCATATTTGTCAGAAATCAACCACGTGTTTGACATTATTGTCTATATATATATAGCATATCATACATTATCATAAATTTGAATTTTGAAGTTCCAAACTTCTTGTGGAGGTAAAATTTTTGTGATGTCCATCACCCAATTAGGGATTTAATTACATATAATATATAATAAATTGAAAGTAGCAAAGATTGTGGCAATGTGTGATTGACTTTTTATGTGAAGATGATGATAATTACTTCTTTTGTTGTCAATCCCTTTTTTAGGCCGACTAGGACCGCATATACGGTTGGTAGCTAGATAGCCTTATGGTTTGTAGTTATACCATATGATCCATACATATACTTTCCTAACTCCATTAATCATATATACATAATCCATGCTGTCGGATTTACACACGAGAAGAGGAAAACTTTCTTTGCGCCAAGTGCTAGCGGCCGCACCGGCCTATACATATATATATACGGCGCCTAGCTAGCTAATACCTTAAAAGCACACAAGATTGATTTGAAATCTTGAAAAATATCCAAAGTCCTTTGTCAGTTCCGAGTTCCGACTTGCTGGTGGAAGAGATTCCAACCAAAACTAATACCATCGATAAACTATGCACTGTTCAAACTCGAGGTGGTCTTGAATATGAGATTGACAATCGCTTGTCGAGGTTTCGATGGTAAAGAACGACTAGCTTGAGTTGATTACACTCGAACGACCATGTAATCAACTCGGCCCATCATTAAAGGAACATAAAGCAGACAACGTTGAATATTTGAAATTATGAGAATTTTATCAATAAAAAAGGACATGCATCGCGTTTCGATCGAATTCATTCTTTATGGCATCAGTGCTCACCAACACACTCTTATACGATTAAAAATACCTCTCTAAGACAGATTATAACAATGATATTGTATGAATTTAATAAGTGAATGTGGTCAACTTCTGCTTACTCTTATAGATTCTCAATCAATTCCCCATCTGCTTATGAAAAAAATATATGATATCCCATCGGCATGATGAATGCTGACCTGAAAATTATTATTCTCTGTTGTGCATATAACATAAAATAAAGCACAAAATAAGCCAAAATCATAATTAAAATATTTAAAAACCACGTAGAGCCGCCTACCTTCTGGAAGCTGAAACTAATAATTATTTTTAAAAATGGGCAAAAAACAGCCCTTTAATTAATTTCCTGATGGGAAAATGAGAAAGTGTAAGTAACACGGCATTTACATTGGTCAATGAAAGATGCTAAAGGACAAAAAAAAATAAAGTGTCAGCTTGCCTAACTTCTCCCTTAACTTCTCCCTTCCGTCAGTACATGAAACCGCTATTCCTGTTCTCATTAGACCCCGCCGACGGTGGCGCAGCCTCCGTCGGCGCCGCACCGCCCTCCGTCCCGATCCCTCGCTGAAGCAACAGATCGCTGTTGACACCGCCGATGTTAGCATTCTCGTCGCTATTGCCCACATTTGCCAACGAGAACAGAAATGGCGACGGTTGGTGAAACTGTGACGACTCTTGGTACTGTAAATGGTGGAACAACCCTTCTCCTCCTCCATCACCACCGCCACCTCCCGTCGCGACGGGAGGTGGCGCTGCTGCGTTGTTCGCCATCCGATCGAACGGATGGTGGTGCTGCCCGAGCCCGAAGCTAAAACCATTTAGTGACGGAACATTTAGCGACGACACGCCGGCTCCCGTCACAAAAGGTCCAGCTGGGCCGCCGGTGAACTGCTGGACCATGGCGCGGAAATTGCTCGTGTCCGTGCTGAGCAACGTCGTCGGCGTCCTCCTCGACGCCCTCGACCGCTTCCTCGCCGGCTTCGACACCCGGCCGCCTTCCGGCCGGCTCAGAGTAGTGCTACTACTATTAGCGACGGAATTATGGCCTCCCCCGCGGTTCGAGCCCGCTAGCTGGATCGGGGTGGGCTCGGCCGCCGCGGCGGCCGAGGAGGTGATGGTGGAGGCGGTGGTGACAGCGGTGATATTACCATCAGAAGAGAAGTTGAGCTGGTTGTGGTGGTGGTAGAAGTGATTAGCCCAGTCGTTAGGGTTTGACATGGTCTTGCTCATGGCCGGCGGCAGAGGAGATAGAGTTCTTTGGGTTATGGTTTTTGAAGGAAGAAAGGAAGTGGGAAATGAGAGGGGTTTAAGGGATGTGGAAAGGAGAAGGTTATATAAAGGTTAGGTGGTGGTGTTGGTTTTTGGTGTACCAAAAATCGGGTCAAAGTAAGCGGAGGGAGGAGAAGGTTGTTCATCTCTCCTTTCTCTTCTTATGTCTCTATCTCGTAGACCCATCAATGACTCCAAATACATGAAAGTTAAGTTGGCATGTGGTGAGTGCCCACCAATTCTTGATGGCGGAGGCACAACTTTTTTTTGGAATTGAATATCTCTGAGGTTGATTTACATAAATTTTACCGATGAATCGGTGATTCAATTTCGATACTTAGTGAAGTTTTAACTTTTGTCCTCTTAATAAGATTTTACGTTGTACTATTACTCATTTGAATTACGTTCAAATCGACATAAGAGATCTAATCATATAAGCGTGGTCTTTTTTGAAAATTAATACAAATCAACTGTCACGTTAAAAGTCCTCGACGTACAATTTTAATGAAAGAAATATGATAAGCTGGATGTAATGACTATATGTTATATATTTCAACCTAGTTGTCTACTATCGAAGACTTTTAGGCAAAATAAGGGATAAAAAAGTGGATAGGGTACTCCTATTGGGCATTAAAGGAGTATGTGTGGTTGTTCAATGAGGCTCATACATCCTTCAAGAAAAATGATATGGAACCCTCCAACCTTTTCAATTATAAAATTAGATAAAATAGTTATTAAAAGATTAACCGAGTATTTGACATAATAGAACATGTTTTTAATTGATTGAATATCGATCTTTCCGTTAGTCGAAATATTAAATACTATCATTTATCAACATAATAACTTGTGCTATGTATGTCTACTTTACAAATCTTTCGTCAAACTTGTATTTCTTTAGTCAAGCTAAATGACTCTAAGTTGTCACTAACCCTACAAAAGATTTATTAAAATTTCAGAAACGGGGCTTAGCTATATGATACTATATCGGGATGTTTCGTTTTCATGTTTACTAGCCAAGCATATTGAACCAGAAGACTTGGAAAGGAACAAGTCCCCTTTTCAGCATCAAAGGAAAATGAGATATATATTTAATTTTCATTTTCAGGAATAGGGGCTGCCTTAATTGCCCATTACCAGTCTAATCTCACTTAATTTCATCATTAATTTTCATGGTGGTGGTGGCTGGCCGGTACCGTATCTTCAAAACAGTATTTACCATTGCCGACGCCAGCTCTTTGACTTTTGGGTGGGGTTGGTGGCTGTATATTGAGTCAAGATAATCTTAATTAATTAGGGAGGCGCTTGTTTATCATTATTTTATTTGTTTAGCTTATTATATATCATTTCCATATATGGTAACAGTAATGTTTTTTTTTATTATGCTCGATATATATTTGTGGTAAGAGGAAACAGCCTAGTACTTTCTCATTCATATTATGTGCAGTGGAGAGTAATTAGATAACAAAGCTTATGCTATATAATGTTCATGAGATGACAACAAAGTGAAACATAATATATTGTGATTTATGTTTACCGTTTTTTCCTCAGAAATTAATCTCATACAAAATCTTCGAAATTAATCATGATACATTAGTGATGCCACGAACTCATCGACATTCCTCTCAGAACTCCCACCATCGGCGACAGCCTCTCGTGCCGATTTCTTCCACTTCTCTGAATTCCTCCTTATCTCCTCCCGACTATCCCCTTCCATCACTTCCTTGATCCGTCGCCCTATCTCCTCCTTCGTCACCACCCCGCTCTCCTTGTCAACCCTTCCACGCGCTCCAACCCGCCACACGTCAGCCACGAACTTGGCGTTTGTCGGTTGGTCTCCCCAGACCGGCAACGCCACCATCGGCACCCCGAGGCAGAGTGCCTCCATCGTCGAGTTCCACCCGCAATGTGTCAAGAAGCACCCAACGGAGCGGTGGGCCAGGACCTCAACCTGGCTGCACCAACTCACCACGAGTTGGCTTGGCGAGACCGTTTCGGAGAGGAAGTCAGGCGGGAGTTTATCCTGTTCGGATTCGCGAACCACCCAGACGAAAGGGTGGGAGCTGAGTTGAAGCGCCCGGGCAAGTTCAGCAGTTTGGGTTTTGGAAATGTCGGATGTGCTCCCCATAGATGCGTAGATGACCGAACGAGGAGGTTTCGAATCGAGCCACCGAGTGATAGATGTCTGCGATGAACCATCTGGATTGAAGAGGTTGAGTCCGTATTCCGACCCTGTCCCAGACAGTTCAAATGGTTCTTCGGTGCCTAGATAAGCTGATGGGATCGTCGGACCAATCGACTTAATTGGAATCGATTGATTTGCCATCCAGTCAAGTAGCTAGTAATAGTATGGTAGAAAAAGCGACAATGAAATCATTAAAGCATGTCATTCTAATTTCTAATTAACTATCACTCAACTTAACATCAACCCAAAATAAAAACCTTACCTTATCTTCCAATCTATAGAACGTGTTGCAAAACGCCCAATCGGCTTCCCTGACGGTGGAGAACTGTCCCACCAGCATCTCGAGCGCCACCGGATAGCTCTCCGGATTGGAAACTAACGACGGGAGTTCATCCGTCGCTAATAATACCGTCGGCAATAATCCCTCTACCGCAATCAAACCACTCTTGTCCACCGGCGCCGGCGGAGCCTCGAGCCTCCCTTCCATAACGTTCAAGAACACGGTATTAACAGCCATGGGCTGCGTGAAAAATGCCGCCCCCACAATCCCCAGCTCTTTCGCCACGTGGAGGGCCCACGACAGGACTGAGTCGTAGACCAGGCAGCACGGACCTGCACTGCCTACAGATCCGCGCAGCCTGGTCACAAATTCCCGCAGCCCTTGCTCAACGAGGCTGCGAAACTTTTCGAGGGAATGGTCGCCCTCTTCCCACCCAAGTCCGCCGTCGGAGAAGAGCTCCACGGCAACCGGGCCCACCGCGGAGCCCTGCAGGATCAGCTTTTTGTCGGTGAAGGTGACGAGGGTGACGGCGAGACCTTTAGCGACGAGCTTTTTCGAGAACTGGAGGGCCGGGTTGATGTGGCCCTGCGCTGGCCACGGCATCACGATGACGTGTGGCCGCTGGTCGGTCGTTGTGGAAGGTTTTTGTGACGTTTCGTCGTCTTTGTTGTGATTTAGCGACGGATCGGTCATTTTTTTTGGCGACGGGGGTGGCTAATTGTATGATTGAGCTCTGTGTGAAGTCACGTTCACGAGGAAGGGATATATATATATACCACCCGTGAGAGGGTAATCAAAGATCTATGATGGTGAAGATATATAATCACTGAGTTCGGCTAGGTTTGTCTTCTTTTGGTCAAAGGTGACGACTGAAAGGAACTTGCTTGTGGTGACCAAGTCTCGTTGAAGGTGAATAGGGGATACAAATGGAAGACGTGCGGTGGATTCTTTTCCTTGAGGCATAATTAAACTCGATGGAAATGGACACATCTGGTGGCTTACTCGAGATGTTGTATTGTTGGCCGGCTAATTGGTATGGCTTTTTGGTTTTATCCGAAATCGGACCGTTTAATTCAGATCGAGATCAAATCAGGACTGGATAGCAAACAATACAATCCCATTTTCGGGTTTAGAATTGAGGTAAAAATAGTTTGGGACCGGATCTAAAACCGGATAAAAGAACCCAACACCCAAAACTTAACCAACTCCTCACCCTCTGAGGCCTCAGACCACTCAAATTCTCACATGCTCAATATAAAATCAAGACCGAATTGGGACCGGACCGGTTCAAGACCGGACTATATCCAATCCAATCTTTGGTCCTTATATTCCCGAGACCGGACCGGGACCAGATTAATTCGAGCCAATTGAACCGGACCGTATAGCCACCCGTAGTTTTCAAGATAGATGGAATTGGATAAACTATATAGTACTATATATAAAAGGAATTACGTCCTTGTTATTTCAAAGTTACCCGAAATACAATAAATCGTAAGCTCACGAGCAATGGGAGGAGTCAAACTCTAATAGTGTGCTATTTTGAAGAACGAGTCGACAACTAATAGGCAGTGGCTTGAGTAAGAAGAACCTCGCCGGAGACGTAGTGTCATGAACTATACCTAACTCCTCCAGCTAGGGGGTACAATTCCTGAGGTTCCAATGAAATGCATAATCAAATGCAACGGTCGACCAACTATCGAACTGTCGATGAAAAGATCTATTAGTTATTAAATGAACGCGCCATATTAAACCGATGAAAGGTATGGTACAAGAGAAGGGGAAAAAACCAACTCATTAAGTTGCATATTAATTTCTTAATCTAAGCTCTTCTCCATGACTCCATTTGTAAAGAACTCTAGACCCATACATCTAGAAGGTATAGTGGTGGTTAATTCGGCCAAGATCTCGTTAGAACAATAAGCCAAAACAAAAGAAACAAATAGCGACAAGCACTCGGTCTCAAAAGGTTGAATACGAACTTATTAATAACGTTCGACTAACTAAAAGCCAAACCATAGTGATCATCAAAATGTGAGTGCCGTTAAAGATTCATTGTGCATTTGCAGTCGAACACCAGCAAACAATGCTCCTAGTTAGTGGTGGCTAATATAATATTTATTCGTCGCTAAAAGTGAAATTGTAGTGTTGAGCACCATCCAGATGGAGCATGGCCTCACCACGGCTCTAATATGATATAGAAGCCATCTCTTTCCCAAGAAAACAACGATGGGAAACTGTAAATATAAGGAGCCAAAATCGCTCTTCGTCTGTGTTTCAAAGTGCATTTTTTCGTGAAGGCCGCTAATTAGAATCTTCTCTACACTACGTAATTGCTTATGTCTTTTGATTGTGACGATTCTGAAAACGAGTTTGTTCATGTCGATTACGATGTTGATGGTAAAGTAGATTGTAAATTCAATTACGAAAAGATAAAGCAAGAATAACTTATATATGGTGCTTCAATCATTAGAAGTCCCGTCATTATATAACAGAAAAAGTGATCAACAAGTAAATATTTTCAATTCTACAAATCGTATTGATTTAAGCAATGTGACAACACTTAATTTTTTTTGTTGTTGATGAATAACACTTCTATAAATGGCAAATGAAGTGAAAAGAACATAAGTTGATTACATTACACAGTAAGACCAAATTATTTAAGGGATATAGAATCACACTTAGTAGATCGATAAGGACTCATATGATAAAGGAGAAGGATGTGTCTAACGACTGCGGTCACAGTTAAATCTTGGTGTGTCGTGTTCAGAGAAGGATGTGTCTCACGGCTTAGGTGATGCAATCTTGGAGGAGATTCGATTGGCAGTGTCTTCTTCTCAGTTTTTCTCGCGCACTTTTACTCCTTACAAGTCTGACAAAGCTGCCTATTAAATGGCGAACAATACTCTTTCATCGACAATTCAACTATTTGTCGACTATGGCGTTTGGTTGCTTACTATTCTTTGACTTTTTATCTACAATCATCTATAAAAAAAAGAAGAAGAATAAAGTTAAATGAGTTGTTTGTTAAAAAGGTGCAAAACAAGGGCCAAATAGAAAATGATCACTAATGCGAGAAATAAAGTTTAGGGTGCAAAGTGAAGTTTCTCAAAATTTTCAGGTCATAGCAAAATCCCAATCTCCATTCTCTCCATTTTGCAGTTCTCTTTCCATCTTGCTTCAAAAACCAGTTCGTCGCTTTCCCGCGGATTCTCCCCTTCTTCGGCTTCCAATTGGGTTGCCCTAATTCCGCAAATCGCTTCTGGGTACTCGCGACATAAAATCAGAGATCCATTTCCGTCTGAATTCGCCTATTCGTCGGTCGCAGAAACTCGAATTCAGTTGCTTCATAAGCTCCCATGGCTGCGGACAGCAACTGACCAACGTCGCGGCTACCTTCAGAAAAGGGAGTCAATCCCTATACCCGAGTTCCATTTACACTCGGTAACTCTTCTTATTCAGTTATTGCTTTCCTTTTGGGATTCTTTTTTCACGTTCTCCGTGCGGAGATGGTCGCCATGCGGCCTGTTCTAGGGTTTAGCTGATTCATTCCCACCTTGGCTTGGTTAGTTGACAATGGTAGGATAACTGAAGGATTGATACAAAAGGGTATGATATGTTAACTCTACGAGAAGGTGAGGAAATGGCACCTACTGTGGATCAGGTACCAATTGAAGATGGTGACGGTACTGGTTCTCCCAAAAGGGCCGTTCTTCCATTGTTTGACGCTGCTGGTCCAGACTTTGAGCCAAGCAATGGGATCGAGTTCGACTCACATGAAGCAGCCTATACATTTTATCAAGAGTATGCGAAATCTATGGGGTTCACCACGTCAATTAAGAATAGTAGAAGGTCCAAGAAATCGAAGGAGTTCATTGATGCTAAGTTCGCCTGTTCAAGGTATGGAGTTACTCCGGAATCAGAAAGTGGGAACAGTAGGCGGTCAAGTATGAAGAAGACGGATTGCAAAGCCAGCATGCATGTTAAGAGAAGGGCAGGAGATGGTAAATGGATTATTCATGAATTTGTTAAGGAGCATAATCATGAGCTTTTGCCAGCTCTAGCTTATCATTTCAGAATTCATCGGAATGTTAAGTTAGCGGAAAAGAACAACATTGACATCTTGCATGCAGTGAGTGAAAGAACAAGAAAGATGTATGTTGAGATGACTAGGCAATCTGGTGGGTATCGAAATTTCAGCGATTTCCAGATTGAAATGAATGGAGAGTCTGAGCAAGGAGGTCGTCACTTGGCTTTGGATGAGGGAGATGCACAGGTACTACTTGAATATTTCAAGCGTGTCAAAAGGGAGAACACAAACTTCTTCTACGCGATAGATTTGAACGAGGAGCAGCGTCTGAGAAACTTGTTCTGGGTTGATGGGAAAGTTCGGAATGATTACACCAGTTTTACTGATGCTGTTTCTTTTGAGACGTTCTATGTAAAATATCATGAGAAGTTGCCATTTGCCCCCTTTGTTGGGGTGAACCATCATTCTCAGCCAATATTACTTGGGTGTGCATTAATTGCAGATGAATCAAGATCAACATTTGGATGGTTGTTGAGAACATGGCTTAGGGCAATGGGTGGAAAATCACCGAAAGTTATAGTCACTGACCTCGACAAAAACTTAAAGGCAGCTATTGAGGAAGTCTTACCCAGTACCCGTCATTGCTTTTCTCTATGCCATATACTGGAAAAGGTCCCTGAAGCTCTGTCTCTTGTGATAAAGAAGAATGAGAAGTTCTTATCAAAATTCAAGAAGTGCATATTTAAATCATGGACAGAGGAACAGTTTGATATGAGGTGGTGGAAGATGGTCAGCAGATTTGAGCTACAAGAAGATGAGTGGATCCGGAATTTGTATGATGATCGTAAGCGTTGGGTGCCTACGTATGTTGGTGATACTTTTCTAGCTGGGCTATCTGCAACTCAACGTAGCGAAACTATTAATTATTTCCTTGATAAGTATATTCACAGGAAAATGACCCTGAAAGAGTTCATGAAGCAATATGGAACAATTCTTCAAAATAGATATGAAGAAGAGTCTATTGCGGACTTCGACACCTTGCATAAACTACCTGCCTTGAAATCTCCATCTCCTTGGGAGCGACAAATGTCGACAGTTTACACACATACGATATTCAAGAAGTTTCAAGTAGAGGTTTTGGGTGTGGTTGGTTGCCATCCTAAAAGGGAAGGTGAAGATGGAAGCACGGTGACATACAGAGTTCAGGACTGCGAGAAGGATGAAAGTTTCTTGGTCTTGTGGAATCAAACAAACTTGGAAGTTTCTTGTATGTGCCACTTGTTCGAGTACAAGGGTTTCCTTTGTAGACATGCATTGATTGTTCTCCAAATATGTGGTCTCTCAAGCATTCCTCCTCGCTACATTTTGAAACGGTGGACCAAAGATGCGAAGACCAGGGAACAAACGGAAGGAGGAGAGCATCTGATAACTAGGGCGCATCGCTATAATGAACTATGCAAGTTAGCCATTGAGATGAGTGAGGAAGGGTCGCTATCAGAGGAGAGTTTTACCATTGCTTACAGAACTCTAGTAGAGACTTTGAAGAATTGCGTGAATACAAATAATTGTAATAATAGTGCATTTGAATCTAGTGGCAATGCTCAAGCCCCTCATGAAGTAGAGGTAAACCATGTAAATGTTTCTACCAAGCCAAGTAAGAAGAAGAATCCTATCAGAAAAAGGAAGGTGAGTTCTCTCTACTATTTACTCCAAATCTGTTGATGATCAAATGTGTTATGCCCTTCAGGTTTTATTATTCACAGTGTCAAAATCTGAACTGAAAAGTTATTCAGGATTTTCTTCTCTCATTTCAGGTACAATCGGATTCAGAAGCTATGGTCATGGAGGCACAAGATGAGATGCAGCAAACTGTACGTCCTGTGCCATTGATGTCATTTCTGCGTCACTATACTATATTTGTGGTGCGTCAATATGGGTATTTATGTACAGTTGATTTATAATGTACTGGTGTCTTCAATATGGATAGGAAACTCTAAGTTCGGATGGGGTTCCACTTAATGGTTATTTTGTTGCTCAACAGGTAACATTGCTTGGCATTCTGGTATCTTTCCAATTACTATTATTTTCCCGTATCATAATGACTAACATTTTAAGCAAATATTTTTTTGTAGGTACAACTAAACTTGATGGATCCGCCTCCTGATGCTTATTTTGTCAGTCAGCCAAGCATGCAGACACTGGTATGCCATACTTTATAGTCTATTTCTGAAATGTTGAAGGGTACCTCGATGATATTGATGGTTCTGAGAGCTGGGAGCTGGGTTTTGCTTTCTACTTTTCAGGGACCACTAAATTCAATACCCTCGAGCAGTGATGGATATTTTACCGGACACGGTTTGGTATGTCGCAACTCGTATGTTAGATACACAAATCTAAACAAAACTTCCAGTCTTAACAAGCTGTCTTTGATTCTTCTCCATTCATCTAGGGCTCATTTGATTTCCGGAATCCAAGTGCTTTCAGCTACAGCTTGCAGGTGAGTTGCTGGATCTTGTATTAACATGTCACATTCACAATTTCTACGAAACGAGATCCTTAATCCCTGTTTTTTGTTATGCCATCCCTTTTCCTGATTTGCAGGATGATTCTCATTTGAGATCTTCTTCACAGTTGCATGGAAGCTCTTCAAGACATGCATAATGGATCGGAGATATGTCCAGATGCTAACTGGTTCCCTAGTTTATTGACTTGTTACCTGAATTTCAACTGTTAATTGTTTAATTAACTGGTGGAAATAGGTCCTTTGTAAGGTAATTTAATCATTTAGTACCTCTGATCGTAGATATTGAACACTTAACACCCTTAGGACATCAATCAACTGAATTATCCTGTGCATAAGGTTGTCATTGTTGTCAGCGATCACGTCTCTGTAAAAACTCCGACCCTTATGATGTTTTCATGAATTCGTTTTCTCTGTAGTAAGAAAGAAATCTGGGAAGAGAAATTTGTAGCATCGCTTGCAAGTAGCAGGTGAAGCTGGAAGAGAAATCTGACATCATGGAGAAGCAGATATTGTTGATTTACAGCTCCATCTGATTCATGTGTTCTGTAGAATGTAGATTAATCTTTTGTAATGTATACATGTGGTCATTTAGTTCTTTAAATGTATCTTACATGTGATTAACATGTGAATCTGCCTCACCATGTTCTAACTCGTAATTAACTGTGCAACTGCTACTTTCATATCTCAACTAATTTGACTTCATTTGTAGATTTCATATTTGTTTCCTTTGAAAAGAGAACACAGATTTCAGGAAAGGAAAAAGGACTCGCAACAAACATTAGGTAGTGGAATGCTACTTTATTAGTTTTTTCACTTTTTGTTTTTGTCTATTCCTATAATGGTCAATTACATACGAGTTCAACGAAGTTTCAAAATTACTAAATCATCCAATTTTGAGTTTTGGACAAAGTTGCCTCCCAAGTTTGAGATTGCTAAACATAATACTTGCTTCATCCATTTTCCTCTTGATTATGGTCAAGATTAGAGTGTCAAATCATCCAATTTTAATTGCAAAAAAGGGTTGCATGAACTCTTTGAGAAGTTACTCCTATAGTGAACTACCATGATTACCAATAATGTGAACTCAAATAGGGTAGTGAATTGAGTTTTATTTGATCAGACTAAACTTCAAATTAGTCGTTTATACTAGTTAGTCATAGCTATTATTGATTTGATTTAGTGAACACTCAATTAATTACAACTTGGACAACAAAATTCCGCCTAAACAGACGGTTAATTGTTATGTTAGATATTCTTCGAACTTTATCCACAAACTTATCGAAAATGAAAGTTCAATGATCCATTTTGTTATGGCTTTAAAGTTTGAAGACCATTTGTGTATTTATGTATGGTTGACCCAATTTCTGTATAATGCCAGTCTCTCTCAACTTACTTTCTCTGTTTCTTTCTGGCTGTCAAAACCTTCTCTTTTGTCAGTTTTTGGGAAAATATTCTTTGGCTTCAACTTCAACAGGTTTGTTCTCCACCATTTTCCTTTCTTAAGGATTTCTTCTGGTCTCTCTCTATCTGTTGTTGGTTTGCCCCCCCCGGCTGGAGCTTTTCTCCATTTCTGCAGGGGGACATGTAGAGCTTTCGTTTCAGCTTCACACCGTCTCTGCATTTTGCCTTGCGAAAAATTTCCGTTTCTTTTCTCTCATTTTCTCATTAATGCTGACAAAACGAGAGACTAAGTAAAACCCACTTCCCCATTCTCCATCCGTTTTGGGGTTTATTGGATTCAGACTGCACAGAATAGAAAGTTCAGTTCTTTCTGTTCTTTGTTTCCATTTTTGTCTCCTAGGACAGTTCCTCTGGTTTTTAGGGTTTTGGAGCTTTTCTAAGCTCTGGTATTGAGCAATTATGGCGAGGAAGCATGGATGGCAATTGCCAGCACACACGTTTCAGGTACTGAAATTTTCTTTGCTTCTCTCATTTCTTCACAAGTTAAGAATTTTGTCGTTCGTTTTCAGTTTCCATTGGATTCCTTTTCCTTCTTTTCAGTGTTGGGTTTGCCTTCGACGAGCTTTGTTAAAATTGTATTCATTTGCTTTCGATCATGGTTAGGCAGGTCAATTCAGTTGTCCTGTCTTCTCTCCGCCCTCTGGAAATAGATTGACTTGGGCTGACTTCTGGATTTAGCAGTTGGTCTTCTGGGTATTTGTCGGTTTGTTTGATGGGGCACTACAGGTCTCTTTGAATGTTGTTGATTACTAAGGAGAGACTAGGAAATGTGCAGACAGTATTTCGGAGCCTTGAATTGTTGAGTTGAAGAGCTTTTTGTTTTATTATCTAAGTACAAGTAGATTTTGCAAGATTAAGTCTTTGATATGCTAATGGTCCTGGAAAGTGAGTGAGATTAGTCTTTAGTCATGGTGGTCTTGCTTAAGAATGAACCAACACTTGTTATCTAGTAGGGCAGTTTGAGTCACTTTGTAAAGTTTATCCTCCTCGAGACATATTATGGCGTAGGGTTTGAACAATTCCTGAGCTATGGACGTAATGCCATTGCTTTTTTTGACGCAGCAGACTTCAATTCCAATTCTAAGTGCTGGCATATTTTGTACTGAAGTGTAATCCAGTTCTGATTTCTGAACACAATGTGAGGAAGTAACATAGATGAGTTTCGTTGGTTATGTGAAACTTGACTAGTGACGACCATTTAGACTCCCAAATCTAAGAATGCATATATCCTGACACTGGCAGTAGGTGATGCTTCTATATGAGCTGGCTTTCCGATTTTCCTTTCTAACTGTTGGCATTATCTTTCATAGGTTGTTGCAATCACGGTGTTTTGCCTGTTGGTAATAGCATTCTATGCTTTCTTTGCTCCTTTCCTCGGAGGCAACTTTTGGGAGTACACTCTGGTTGGCATATACTCTCCTGTGGTAAGTGACCTTCAAACACTTCCACCATTATTTCATTATTGCTAGGTCTCTATCATACAGCTTAGCCATGTTTGCATTTGTGCTAGTAACCATCCATTTGGTACACCTTTTTTTTCTTTATGACATTGCTTATATGTATATTTTTCATTTTCAGGTGCTCCTGGTTTTTATCCTTTATGTTCGGTGTACTGCAATCAACCCAGCAGATCCCGGCATCATGTCTAAATTCAACCCTCATCATATAGCAGCTAACAGGAATGCTAAGGATATACCCAGACGATTTAATGAATCTGGGAGTGGAATTCATTCTTCCCCATCTTCTATGTCCAAAATTTCTATAGGTCCTGCCAACTCTAGCAGACAAGGGTCAGTTGGAGATGCCGGGAGAGTTGAAGAGGAACCCCAAACCCAACTAAAATCATGTTCTATTTTCGGAGGAATCTTATGTGCTGTGTTTGTTCATGAAGATTGTCGCAAGCAGGAAGGGCTTGCCGAGCAACAAGGCTCTGTTGAAGATGCGTTGTTCTGTACATTGTGCAATGCTGAGGTATTCTTCTGCATGCAAGCAGTTCCTGATTTTTCCTAGGTCAAAAGCAAAACTCTGTAGTTGATCAATATCTTCTGTTAGAGGCTGAGCCATAAAAAGCTTGTTGCAATATCTCCTCATCAAACTGAATAAAATTTGAAACTTTGCAGGTACGCAAATTCAGTAAGCACTGCCGCAGTTGTGATAAATGTGTTGATGGCTTTGACCACCATTGCAGGGTAAAAACTTCCCGCCTTTGAATCCTTTCTCATGATACTGTTTCCTGGCTTCTAACTTTCTCTATGTAATGCAGTGGCTTAACAATTGTGTGGGCCATAAAAACTATGTGACTTTCGTTTCCCTTATGGCTACAAGTGTTGTATGGGTATGTATATTTTGGCTCTTATTAATAGTTCTCTCTCTGTAATTGTAGTCCTAGTGCTGACTTTTCTGCTTTGTGGTTTAGCTTGTACTTGAAGTTGGAGTCGGGATTGCTGTCATGGTTCGTTGCTTTGCCCACAAGAAAAGCATGGATGCTGAAATAGTCGATACCCTTGGAAACGGATTCTCTCGTGCCCCTTTCGCCACTGTGGTGGTATGCACATCTTAAGCATGAGCTTTAGTAATAAATAAATAAATAAATAAATAGTGGCCTTATCGTGTCGTTTTGCATTCGTTGGATTGGATTTCATTCTTGATTGTCTACCTGCATTTTCTGCAGGCTGTATGTACTGCAGTTTCTATTCTGGCCTGCATACCCTTGGCTGAACTCTTCTTCTTCCACATGATATTGATTCGAAAGGTTAATTACCAAACTAAGATCTTCAGCATTCTGTCAACTCATTACTATAAACGATGTGTTTGTTCTGTTATTTATTTACTTATGTAACTTTTGCTACTCTTATCAGGGCATTACAACGTATGAGTATGTTGTGGCAATGAGAGAGGGACCTGCTGCGCATTTTGAAGAGCAATGGGCCAATCTAGGCAACTCTCCAGCAGGATCTGCTACAACAGGATTCAGTGGTGGAAGTTCTCTTGGCCTGCAGTACAAGGGAGCATGGTGTACCCCTCCCCGAGTATTCGTTGACTATCAGGTACGTTCCACTTAGGACATTGATCCCTACTGCTTTGTGTACCCCTCCCCAAGTATTCTTTGACAATAGGAATATGGTATCTAACATCTTCCAATATTAATATCAATAGAACAATCTACCTGTTCAACAAATCATCAATGCGAGCAACCCCTTAGTTTCAGGCTACCAAGCATGGTCATAAAAAGATATAGTTTGACAAGTAATTGATCAAGGGTTGGATGACTATTTTTAGCTACGGATACTGGGGGTGGATTTTAGTTTTTTCCCATTGAAATATCCAATTGCCCTTATACATCATCGACTTTGTAAAGCTGTACAATACCTTCGAATTTTCAAACAAATAAAGGGTCATAATGTCAAAGTCAAAACGCATGGGGGGTTCTGGAAGCCACACCCTTACCTATGGCTTCTACGACCTCCTCTTGTCTGTATTCTTGAATCCATGCATGGTGCCAAGAATGCACCTCAATTTTCATGTTTTGCTTGCCAAACAGTAGAGTCCAGGAAATCCCCTCCTGGATGTAGCGTGTCCTACAATCCATTGCCATAATTGTCAATCCAAACGACCTGTAAGGTGTTTCATTTTGCAAATAGGACTATATAACTGCCATTTTTTTATTAATTGAAGCAAAAACAAGGGCTCTTCCATACCTTTCCTCCGGCTATTTCTTTTCTGTTGCAGGAGGAAGTCATACCTCACTTGGATCCAGGAATGGTCCCTTCGACAATCGACCCTGATGTGGCAGGAAATGTAGACCAAGGAGGAAACAGGCAACCCAAAAGGCCCGTCCGAATCAGTGCTTGGAAACTTGCGAAGTTGGACTCAAACGAGGCAATGAAAGCAGCAGCAAAGGCAAGGGCATCTTCTTCCGTTTTAAAGCCAGTCAAGAACCCTCCATATATTGAAGGAGGTAGCTCTAGTGGCAACATGAGCATCAGAAGTAGCCTCAGTGCTGAAACGGATCCAAACAAGGAGGCAACGAGGACCGAGCTGCGGTTACCCTCACATGGTCATTCTATACCTCCTAGTCAAGGCAGTCAAGATGATTGTGAAACTGGGACTCACAGTGTCAGTAGCTTCAGCAGCCCAAGCCACATCCATGAGTCTGTCACCCTTAGCCCTATGCCACAAGCTCATGTTCCTAGCTTTCTTCCTAGTCGGCCCATGACTTCCAAGATGATGATTTCTACATCTGGATTTGATGAGAAGATCGCACAGAGGGGAAGTAGTAGTACTGCTGATCCTTTGCTTCTCGGAGCACCGATATCATCATCAACATCTCTTCTTAGAGATGTGAAGAGGACATCTGTGGTATGGGACCAAGAAGCCGGGAGGTATGTATCTGTTTCCGTGTCTTCGACTGATGCACGAAGCAGACCAGCCCCTCAAATTGGGGTGCCAACATCATTATCCGAGGCAAAACCCGCAGCAGTTCAGCAAGGAGAGAAGCAGATGTACACAGGAGGTGACTCCATTTTCTTTGGCGGTCCACTATTGACTAGTCCAACCATTGGAGGAGAAGGCTTGAGAAATGAAGGTTTGAGAGACAACCACCACCAGCAGAGACCAGCATTGAACTTCCCACGTGAGTCGAGGTTCAGAAGAGATGCAGTGTCGAATCAGCTTCCTGTTTTCAACCCGGCAGGATCATCTGACCACCACCACAAACCTTCATCGTAAGGTGACGCCATTTTCATCTGTATAGTCCATAGAGCAAACAGCAGAATGCAGGCTAAACCCTGCGGCACCCTTTCCTTCTAGTGATAGATCCTGCCGCTCATTAGCAGCAGGAAGCTCATTTCATTCGAAGTTTAACCAGTTTTTTGATTGGAGGATGGAGGAAGAGGACTTGATTGGTTGCCTAGTATTGTCGACGAATGAGAAAGGTGTCTGGAGATCAAATAACGAGAGAGAAAATCGGTCTTCGTCTCGGGGTCTCATCCAATCCTGGCCTGACCAAAAGGGTGTGTTCTTGTTTTTTCGATGAGACTTTGTACATTTGATTCTCTCACTACCATGATATTATTCTTACTGATTCTCCCCTCTTCATGTTGTGTGTGTATCTTTTCTCCAATCCCTTTTAGGCTGTCTTTTGTTGGTCAGTTGTAGTTTGAGACATACATTTGTTGGATGTAGCGTAACATATTTTATGTCTAAATTAATACTGACTTTTGTCATTTTTATCACTTGGTTTCGTGGTGTAGTTGGTTATCACGTCAGTCTAACACACTGAAGGTCTCCGGTTCAAACCCGGGCGAAGCCATTTTTATCCCCATTAGGTGTAGTGGTCCTATCAAAATCATTATTTTTCTTGCTTCTTTGAACCTTCTTTTCCCAGTTAACTGTATGAGTTTCATCTATAGCTACAATCATTTGTTAAGTTGCCAAAACTAGGGGATAAGGCTGAGTCATTGGTCAACTGTGGTTACTGGTCAACTGCCAATTCATCATGAGGAAATTAAAAGTGTATGGTGCAGATTCATTCCTTCTTCCCTTTCAATATTTTAGCAGAATAAAACTTGTAGTTTTCCTCTAGAATGTGTCGACCTAATGTCCTCTTATATAAATCAAATTGATTTCAACTTTAAAATTTCATCTTATTAATAATACTATAACTAACCTCTTAACATATAATCATTTCAATATCAACACATTGAACAATCTTTGAGATTAGTTAATTTGTAGTGTACGTAATCCCTGCAAATTTTCTTGATTGTAAACACTAAACATGATAAATATATATAAGATTCAAAATTCGAACTTGTGATCCTCCAAAGAAATGAAAATATGGTAACAAATGATCCAAAATGATTCACTATAAGAAAAATAATTAAGTGTGGGAATTTGAGGAATCCCAAAAAAGCCTGCGTGACTGACGTCTCTCTCCAAAAGCTCCATTATACTTGGTTGTCCGTATCTCCCTCGGGCCAGTCGGACTCAGTGGCCTTCCCCAAGTTCGCCTCCTCAACTCGCACCATTTTTAGTCATCTTCTCGAACTCTATCTCCTCTCTTTTCTTTTTCCCCTTCGTCCAGTTTGAACGCTCTGCTGCTTTGATTTGCTAGTTTTGTGCTAAGCTAATAAGCTATGGTGGTCTTCAACACACTCATGCGATCCACTTTCAATGCTCGGGTAATCATCACCATTATCGTTTTCCTTGAAATCCCACCACCTGATTTGTTTTTTCGCGTACCATGTATGAGAAAGTTCCGTACTTTGTGGATCATAGCTTGTTTTTTTGCTTGCTTGATCGATGTTCGTGATAGTTGGTTTTGCTTCCCTGCTGTGTCCCTTCCGGTGTTTTTTTCTTCTTCTTTCGCTCTGTGGAATTTGATTCCCCCCCTTTTGTCTTGGTTTCTGGGTTCCCGTTTGTTGCTCGCTCGTCTTCTGGCGGGGGGAAAATGGAATTCAATTTTCCCGCTTTTGTTTCAGGAAAGTTTTCAAATCTTTAGAGACGCTTGTGATTTATTGTTTATGAATCAGAAGCATCATTGATGCGTTTGTATCTTATTATGTTGCTTCAAATTCCAAAATTTCGTGCGACTCAAAAGAATGCTGGAATCTTTCAGATTCCAGTCAGCTGATCGAAGTAGCCTAGTTGAAATATGGAAACATGAAGGTTATGAATCCCCCCATTGAAGAAAGAACTGCAGTGGGGCTGGTTTAAGAATCCGCCTGAGAATAGTGAAATACTAACTCGATGCTTAGAATAGGCAGCAGTAGAAGTTGTATATGTTTTTCCTACTGAATTCGAACCTTATCCCGTTGTTCTTATTTTGATCAGCTTGGCTCATATGTGAAGCATGTTGCTGGCAAGGGACCATCCCAGATATACATTCCATCAGTGTCTAGATTGTACAGTAAAGAAGCACATTTGATCAAGGATGATGTTTCAGATGGTAGCAAAAGGTAATGTCGTATTAACTATTTTGTTACCTGGAAGCACATAGGGGCCAGGAAATTCTAAGGGTCTTAAAAATTTCGTTTCTTGCAGCTTCAAGGGGCATGATATGCTGGCTCCTTTCACTGCTGGGTGGCAGACAACTGATGCAAACCCTTTGGTCATTGACAAGTCCGAGGCATGTTCTAGTTCATTCTAGTTTCCCCATACTATCTCTACTCGGCTGCATTGTTCCACAATTAACTGGTAATCGGTTGTTGATACAGGGTTGCTACGTATATGATGCTGATGGGAAGAAGTATATCGATTCTCTTGCCGGTCTCTGGTGTACTGCTTTAGGTAATCTTAGTATATCCAGTATTTGTTTCTAATGATGTATCTATATATTGCTTAGGAATCCATTAATTGCTTGGACCTCAAATGCTTGCTTGAAGTATGATACATTTAACGGTTCCCATGGTATTTGTTGAAAGAAAATCTTGAATCCAATAATGCTTACTTCTTGAGCAGGTGGAAACGAGCCGCGCCTTGTTGAAGCTGCAATGAAGCAACTGAATAGCTTGCCATTTTATCATTCGTTTTGGAATCGTACAACAAAGCCTTCTCTGGTACTCATGTATTTTCCATTATCAAATAATAATTGAGTTTGGGACGTATCTTTTCTACCTTGAAAGCCCTCTGCCCCATATACGGATCAAAGGAAATTTTCAGCTGGGAATTTAAATGCTGTATAATTTGATGCAACAGGATCTTGCGAAAGATCTTCTGGAAATGTTCACTGCGAATAAGATGGAAAAAGCATTCTTCACGAATGGTGGATCAGACGCCAATGATACACAGGTTAGCTTATTTCATAAAGACGATTGCTTAGCTGTTTTGTTATGGTTCGAATTCTTAGTCATTCTAAGGGGTTAATCAGTTCATGATTAATCTGTCATCTTCCTTTCTGAGCTAGGTATTTTAAGTATATCTTTCCAATAACTTCACACACTGTTATTGATACATACTTTTGTACTTCGATTGTATTTTTTTCTGTAGGTGAAGCTAGTGTGGTATTATTACAATGCTCTTGGGAAACCAGAAAAGAAGAAGTTTATTGCTCGAAATAAATCGTTAGTTCTATGCCACTCCATGTGTTTTTGTAATCTTCATTTGTAAATCAGGCTCGAATTGCTGATGGTTCACTTTGTGTTTGTAAGGTATCACGGCTCGACCTTGATTTCAGCCAGTCTTTCTGGGTAAGAATATAGTTTACATTAATTATGAATGCAAAGTTCATTATCATGTTAAGTTTATGTGACGTATGAAACTACTTTGCAGGCTTCCACCTATGCATAACAATTTTGATCTTCCAGCACCATTTGTGCTGCACACCGACTGTCCACACTACTGGCGTTTTCATCTTGAAGGTCCCTCCCTCCCCACCTCTTCTACTTCCGAGTTCCGTAACTAAAAACCAGCAGCTCTTTAAATACAATTTCTTGGTATGCATCTTTCAGGTGAGTCAGAGGAGGATTTCGCAACCAGATTAGCCAAGAATTTAGAGGAACTTATCCTGAAAGAGGGACCTGAAACGGTAATCAATGCTATAACTTGCTGCAAATGTAAGTAACAAATCTTCATAACAACGCTTTTGGTTGCTAACCTGCAATGGGTTCCGCTTTCAGATTGCTGCATTTATCGCTGAACCAGTCATGGGTGCCGGAGGCGTGATACCCCCTCCTGCAACTTACTTTGACAAGGTAAAGACGTCTATCCCGATAACACAGAAGCCAACATCGTAGAGTCTATGACATAATAGTTTAATGCTTTTTGGTCATTTATTCCTTTGCTTTTTTATGTGGATATGACTAATTGGAGATTATGACAACTCTACAGTTTCTTTGCTGTTGGAGATGGTTGTTTGCTTTTTAGTCTTATACGTTAATGAAGTACAGTGGGGAAAATCACATGATCTTCCATTCTTCTATCTGCACTTCAAAGACCTAATGCTGATGTCTAATCCTGTACAGATTCAAGCAGTCGTGAAGAAATACGACATTCTATTCATTGCAGATGAAGTAATCTGTGCCTTTGGGAGGCTTGGAACAATGTTCGGGTGTGACAAGTACAACATCAAACCAGATCTCGTAACTTTGGCTAAGGTGAGTTCTAAAATTGATTCAGGGGTCAACTATAATTGGTCTCTAAACATATTCTGGGTTCAGTAACAAATAAGTCACCGGACCTTCTTTCAGGCTCTTTCATCAGCATACATGCCAATTGGAGCAGTTCTCGTGAGCCCTCAAATAAATGAAGTGATTTACTCTCAAAGCAACAAACTTGGTACGTGGGAACAAAGGGTCCTTTCCTTATAGCTGTTATTGAACTATATGAACCGAATTTTTCTCACCACCTTTTGTACAGGTACATTTTCTCATGGATTTACTTACTCCGGCCATCCTGTTGCATGTGCTGTGGCGATTGAAGCCCTCAAGATATACAAGTCGGTGTTTTGCTCTGGCATTTCGAAACTACATTTACACTGGATTGATTTCTCGATAGTGGTTTATTCATGACTGATACTTTGCATTGCCACTTGTATTTGCATAGGGAAAGAGATATTCCTGGGCATGTTAGCAGCATGGCGCCAAGGTTCCAAGATGGCCTAAAAGCCTTCTCTGACAGTCCTATCATAGGAGAGGTAACAACACTCTGTCACATGCAAGCACTCATACTACGAGACCACGACAACTTAAAACAACTATTATGTTTTGCAGATCCGCGGAACTGGCTTCATTCTTGGCACTGAATTCGCCGACAACAAGTCACCTAACACCCCGTTTCCTGCTGAATGGGGCAAGTTCTTCTTTCAGCTCCTATATTTCTCACCTTCAGGAGGACTCAGGATAATAATCATTTGCAGTAGTTGCAATGCATGATAAACAACAAGGATTGCTCTCTTTTTTCTTATGAACTTGCGAATTTTGTTGCAGGTGTTGGAGCGTACTTTGGAGCAGAATGTCAGAAGCTCGGGATGCTGGTACGTATAGCAGGTGACATCATTATGATGTCTCCACCTCTCATCATGGGCACTGAACACATCGACGAGGTATAATAGTACCCCCAACACCACAACTTGCTCTCTTCCAAACCATGTCTTTCTCAGTTTCTCTGATGCAAATCTGTAATCTCCTCGTGTGCAGATCATTAGCAAGTACGAGAAGGCGCTTCGAGCTACCGAGGAGAGGGTGAAGGAGCTGAAATCTAAGCACAACAAGTGATGGATGATGTCGAAAAAAATCGTTTTCAGTTCTTTGCCTATTGAGGTTGTAAAGAGAAGACCTTTTCTTCAGCATGGTGCATTGTTAATAGATCACGTTGGCAAAACTGAATAAAGCACATCAGCAGTTATTGCTATATTGGGATTCATCATGTTCTGTTCGAAATCCTTGATCAAGTTTAAACATTCATCATTGCTTCATCAATTAGATTTCTGCAGAACTTTACAGCAGTTTCCAACATAGTAGAAACAAACAACAGTCTTCTCTGACATCCAGCCGGCGGCAGCAGGGGACGGCGGCGATGATCCTACTAGTTCTTGTTTCGTTTCTCGGCGTTCCTTCTGGCGCGGCGCTGCCTGGAGCTGAAAGAAGGCTTGTAGCCACCGTCGTCATAGTCGTCCAAGTCTTTGAACGATTTCTAAGAAAGACATTAAAAGATTACGAACTCCGGTGAACTCAAATCGGAGAGACGCAACGAAATAGGGAGAGAAATTATAAGTACCAACCAACCTCTCGGATCTCGGAGAAGCTCACTGCGTAGAAGGTCACGGCAGCGGCGGCGACGATTCCAAGCACCGGAAGCGCCATCTGCGATATTACTCCTCCGTCCATTTCTAGCCTTTTGTTTCAGTCGACAGTGTGGCGCCTAAAGAATGAAGAATGAGATAACGTTTTTCTTTGGCGCTCTATTGTTGTTTTAGTTGGGTGAATGACATATTTGGTCCCTCGACTTTCAGTAAGTTCATCAACAAGTCCCTGAACTTCACTTTCGGTCAGTGAGATTTTCATTTGTCAAACCGTCAAAGAATCATTATACGGGCCCTATGGCTAATCAGCTGAAATCGATTCGACGAAAATTATACACAATATCACAACCGAAATCAAAACACAACTTGGACGTCACTACTCACTACCTCCTAGACATATGGAGGAGAAGAAAAGGATTGTCAGCTGACAGTTGAACCTCATAGGGATGAAGTCATGACCTGAACAAAGGTTAAAGAAACACAACGATAGAGGTCATTCGTCTAACCTATGACGAGGCATGATGACTCCCATGGATCCTAGTCCGATATGTCGATGGTTGTTGTCCATCTTGGAACCTTGGCGCAATGCTTGTTACATGACCATGAATATTTCTTTCCCTGACTGGCACTGGATTCAGACCTCGATCGAGTGGAAATGTAGTATAGAACGGCGGAGCAAAGACCCACCTGTATGTCTTGAGGGCTTCAATGGCCACAGCATACAGAAACAGGATTGTCGGAGTAGGTAAATCCATCAGAAGATGTACCTGCATATTAGGTGGTAAGAAAAGTTCAGCTCGAATCATTCCATAACACTAACAGCAACAAGACTGGAAGTTTTTTTTTGTGGTCTTCTGCACCCCTTTTATCATCAGTTGCTGCAGCATACCAAGTTTGTTGCTTTGAGAGTAAATCACTTCATTTATTTCAGGACGCACAATAACTGCTCCAATTGGCATGTATGCTGACGAAAGAGCCTGAAAGAAGGTTCCGTAACTGATTTGTTAGTGACCGCAGAGTATGTTTAGAGACCATTTACAGTTGACAGTGAAACTATTCCAGAACTCACCTTAGCCAAAGTTACTAGGTCTGGTTTGATGTCGTACTTGCAATGAATAGAATGTTCTTCTTCACCAATGCCATCTAGGGTCTGGTTTGATGTTGCAGGAGGGGCTATCACGCCTCCAGCACCTATGACTGGCTCAGCAGTAAATGCAGCAATCGGAAAGAACCTATTGCAGGTAAGCCACCAAAAAGCATTGTCATGAAATTTTGTAATCTACATCTGCAGCAAGTCCTAGCATTAATTAACGTTTCAGGTCCCTCTTTCAGGATCAGCTCCTCTGTAGACTGTATTCTTGGCTAATCTGGTTGTGAAATCCTCCTTTGACTCACCTGAAAGATACAAACCAAGAAGCTGTAATTAAAGAGCTGCTGGGTTTTAGTTATGGAAATCGAAAGTAGAAGAGGTGGGGAGAGAGGCACCTTAAAGATTCAATTAGTCCATAAGGATATCTGTGTCTCTAAGAAGTTAGGAATCTCATTTCACTCGCCAACCCATGCAGTGTATGGTATATGTTCGCCATTTGAGGATGTGCTGCGGAACCCAACACGAATTCATGGACAATGCCATTGATATTGACCCAACTAGACCCTGGCTGCTTCTTCACTCCTTTCTCCCTCATAAACCACCTTAGGACAGAAACATCATCCCATCGCCTATCACCAGCCAAAGCATTTGCTAACATCACATAGCACGCAGAACTATTTGGGTCGACTTCAACAAGCCTGTTATAAACATCTTGAGCCAAATCCAATCTGGAATGAAGCAGGCACCCTCCAAGTAATGCCCCCCACACAAAATTGTTAGGCTTAAAAGGCATGGATGCAGCAACTCTGGCAGCTTCTTCCAATTGACCGTCACGGGAAAGAATGTCGATATAACAAGCATAATGTTCCATCCTCGGAGGAACTCTAAAGACTGAAATCATATCATTGAATATCTTCCGTCCTTTATTGGACAATCCCGAGTGGCTGCAAGCCCATAGAAGACCAAGGAACGTTCCAGCATTTGGGTAAAGAGCAAAGTCTTGCATCTTCTCAAAAAGATGAATTGCATCCTCTCCTTCACCGTTCACAGCAAGCCCCATTATCATAGCATTGAAAGAGATGACATCTTTGGTTGTCAACTTCCTAAAAACCTCCTTTGCGTTGTCTAAACTCCCACATTTGCAGTACATGTCTATCAATGCAGTGGCCAGAAATTTGTTGGATTCCATAACACCTCTGCATCCTCTACTTTTCAAGAATTCATGGACCCATTGCCCAAGCTCGAGGTCACCTATTTGAGCACAAGCAGTGAGCACACTGACCATTGTGACATGGTTGGGCTTACAAGGATGATCATCATCAACCATTAAGCGGAAAAGATTCAAAGCCAGCAAAGGTTGTCCATTTTGCACATAAGCATTTATCATAGAATTCCAAGGAAGCACACTTGTTTTCCTATCACTGACGATACAGTCAAACCTTTCCCTGCTCTTGTCTGTCCTTCCGCATTTCCCATACAAGTAGACAAGGACACAGTTTATCGAATCATCATCCCTACCAGTCCTTTCAACCAATTCAGAGAAAAGGGAAACCCATTTCTCAATCTGGTCAATTTCAAGTTCAGAACATGCTGACAGAACACTAACTAGCGTATCACTTTCGGGCTTCACATTCTCCTCAACCATGGAATAGAACAGCCTCATAACTTCCTCCGAACAACCCACCTGTACATAACTCGAGATCAAAGAAGTCCAACAACAAACCACACTCTTACCAGGCATATCATCAAACACCTTGCGCGCAGATCCTACATCGTCGACTCCCTTCCCATACGCAGCAATTAGAGCATTGCAAACAAAAGGGTCGGTCAAGAATCTACTTTTCACGACATGGGTATGAATCTGGTTCACCAAAAATGAGTTCTTTGAAACAAAACACGCCTTCAAAATGAAAGAAAAAGTGAGGTCGTTGGGGGGAAGCCGGTGAACTGATATCAATCTTCGGAACACAAGGAAAGAATCCAAGGAACGACCTTCCTGTGCTAGGACTCTGATTATGGCATTGAATGGAAACAAGTTTGGATTTTGAAGCTGATCAAAGACGCGAAGAGCCGCGCTAGATGGGTAATGGCCAATGAGGCGAGTGGCGATCAAGTTGTCCTGATGGGCGTGCTGGCGTAGGACTCTGGCGTGGATTTGGAGGACATGCGAGGGCGGAGTGCGGCCTTGTAGAAGTGCAGCGAGGTTGAGATGATCAGAGGACGAAGAGAAGTGGAGAGAATGGATTGAGCTTGAGCAACGGGTTCTGAAGGCGGCGGGAAAGTGTTTGATAAAAACTGGGAACATGGCTCGCAAGCGGCGGGAAAGTTTTAGAATTCTGTTTGATTGAGGAGAAATGCAGTGCCACACGATGGAATTCTGTTCGCGAGTTTGTACGTCTAACTCGATTAGTGGGCTTTTCTACTAAAAAGAATTAGTGGGCTTTAGTTGGATTAAACGGGCCTAACCAGTTTGTTCTAGAAGCAACTTAACTTGATTAGCCCAAACGAGTTTTTGGACGCTATGCAAGCCCACTCCTTGATCTTCTCAAACCGAAATTATAATAAGAAATTGGTAGAAGAAGACACAAATTGGTGATTTGTATAACGTATAATTTTGATTAAGGAAATTATTGAGTAATGACAATAATATATTTTCTCACAATCTCCTCTTAACCTTCTTCTTCTTCTTTTTTAATCACCACTTCCTTTTCTTCAAATCGTGGACGTACGAATAGTTATTGGTATCATAAAGCGACATCATAAAAAACTTAGACATAGTTTGAGATGAAAGTTTTAAATATGAAAAAAAAATCCATAAATTTAAATGTTATAACATACTCGTACTATAAAAAGAATCAAATAATTTTCATAGCGGTCAAAAGAAGTTTAATCTACAATCAGAAACTTCTTGATTATTTGGTGAAGAAAAGTCCATACCCCCTTCAACCATAATAAAGAAAGGAATTTCTGTTAAGCATTGACTGCATTTCATTTTATATTCAACAACTTGACATTCTAAGGAGTAAAAAAAAGATTGTCAATTGACCATCGTAGGGATGGATTCATTTTGTTATTTCACAAGTTGATCAGTATATTAACACCATCTAGTCACTTTCGGTTGAAAGTCATAAATTGGTCGTCTTATATTAAAAATAATAATGTTCGGTTCTTCATCTAACATTGTCCATGTATAGTACTAGATGGCAGTTCAATATCATCATGAATTTTTAACCTAGAATTAGAGCATAACTTCCATGATTCTCAGATTTCGCAAGTTGGTTAGTATACTAGCTAGCACGATCAATTTTCTTCCAATTGGAATATCTTGCCAATGATCATAGGTTGAAAGTACGATGATATTGGTCTTTTGTCTAGACGTGGGTTGATTAAGTGCGCGATATTATCATCTAGATAGTAGTACTAGAGAAAAAGGCATCGTGTGTTTTAAATCTATGGTCTTATGACCTAATTTGTATGATCCTTAATTTGACAGAACTGATAATTGTCGACCATCGTTCCAATGCCAATGATATCAAAGAAGAATCATCATCCCATCCCATACTTTATATGTCTTCACGAACAAAACACGCTGATAACTTGAATCTTCGATACATCCCGTCCACCGCGCTCATAATTAATGATATTGGCTTCAACTTGCTGCTTGCATATACATAGTCCTTGTAACATTTAAACATGGTGGAAAAAACAGAATAGGTAGCTAGAGGGCGTGTGGATCCCATTTCCATGGATTCCAATTTCATTCAAACGAAAGAACAAGCCACAAAAGGTTGAAGAAAGGAAGGAAAAGGAGATGGGAGGCTGGGGAATTTGGCTGGTAGTCGCCAAAGAGGAAAAGTAAAGGAGGAACGTCGCAGTCGGCCAAAGCGAAGACACAGTCATCATCATCGTCGTCGTCGACTCCACTGTGTGTACGAAGGGGCGGTTTGGTCGGTCCATGGTGGCCGCCACTTTCTGCCACCCTGGAGGAAAAAAAATAGTCCTTGCCTCTCTTTCAGAACCTTTGCGAAATTCCAATTACGTCCTCCGTTCGTCCCAAGTATTGCCACTGAGCCATTTTCTCTGTTGGATGGGTGAGTCCATGAACAAGATTTCTAAGGATGTTCGAGTGAATAGTAGGTTGATAAGTTGGTGATTCCTTTGACAAAAGGTTGAGTATTTGTACTATGGAGATAGAATTCATAGCATGGAGAGGTTGAGTAGCTTAGCTATTAATGGCTATCCGATCCAAACCGCAAAGAGTGAAAAAGAAACGAGAAGATATCGTCGATCTACCATCTATTTGACGACTGTAAAATGTAATGAAGGATTTTGAATGGGGCACAAAGTCATGATTTTCGAGTATTGAGAAGGGGTTTGAAACTAAAAGAATGAATTGGAGCAGTTTCTTATCAAAATCTAATGCGTGTGTCGTCAAGAAGGGGTTGTCTAGCAGTCCACCGTCCCGACACTTTACAATATTTGCTCAACACGTGTATGTAAGTAATTAATATCCAGATAAAATTTCGAATCGGACAGGATAAGGTTACATTCAATTTTTATTCCATGGTATCTGTATAAAATAAAATGCAAGTCCAATGAAAATGAAACTGAACAACAAATCATACAAAATACATTCTTGATTCGGTTCTTATAACTAGACTTTTTCCGTTATATTTTGATTTGATTCATGACATAAACCAACTGGTTTCAATAACTCGAGTCATTGTAATAGGTTAATGTATAGATTCTAACTACTCTTAAACGTCTCTTCCAACGAAAGTCAACTCCTGGACTGAAGTTTGCACAGGCTTGCCACACCATATCATTTAAGACAATGGTTAATATTGTAGGTCATGAGGACTTGAACACGTGATCTCAAGAACAAACTAGCCCTCATACAAATATCTTAAACTAATTAGTTCCAATAACTTAAGTTGTCGGGAGAGATCTATCTATTGATGCTAACCACTCCCTTACAATTTCGAGAAAGATGAATCGTGCACCCAAGGATCACTGAATAGTTAGGTCGAACGAGTATTTGTAAAACCGTATAATACCGGTTGTCCGATCGAGAAAACCTCCTACTAGAAACTAAACTATTATGCGGTTTTAGTAATATGAATTAATTGAACCACTATTAAGTCACAATTTCAATACAAAATACCATTGATCTTTCCGATATAACCTCCATTATGATTTTACAATTTTTGGTACATTTAAGGACTCATGTACAAACTACGAACGAGAGATCCAGCAAATTATTACGATATCAAGGGGCCATCACGTAATTTCCGCAGCGCCCAATTGAACCAGTCTCCCATTGGATCATTTCAATTTTCATTACCCATGGGCTGGCTGGCTGGCTAGAGGGTCGGTCAGAGGGACCCCACTCCTCCCTTCTTCTTCTCCCCATTCCCCCTTCCTTTTAAAAAGATTCTCTCTCCCTCTCTCTCAACAGAACACGAGAAATTGAAACCAAGCGACAAACAAAACAGCACACTCTTCTTTCGATTTCCGCCCTCCGCTTCCATCTCCGCCTCGTCGCCGCCGTTTTACTCACAAAAGAAACAACTCCTCAAACTCCGCCGGAAAGATCTGTTCCCTAATTCCCTCCCTTTCCTCCTCGCTCTCTGCAAAGTCAAGTAAGCGCCGCCCCAACTCCGTTTCCATTTTTTAGACGCTTTCTGTTTCTCCTCAGGTTGTGGAGGCGATCGATCCTCCGCTGAAATGAATCGATTGCTCTCTCTCTTTCGTTTCCTGCTTTGATTTCCAGCTGGTTCAGTTATCGTCCTCAGCTATGTTGGCTCTACGATTTGGTTTTGCTTAGTGCTTATCGTTTTTCAAAAACTGGATTTAGATGCCGCGGTTAAGCTTCCGGCGGAAGGATTGGATTAGGATTATGATCTGCGGATCCGTTTCCTGCTTGCTTAGCTCCTTTGTTTGGGGTTTCATTTCTGGATTTGCTGGAGCTCAATTGAGCTGATCGGGGCTCCGGAAACCCGATTTAATGGTGTTTCAATTAATTAACTTATTTACATTTGGAATTAATAAAACATTCTGCTGATTTAAAATCAATAATTTTAAATTTTACCCAATGAAATTGGGGGGGCGGGGGGGAACTCCTTTTCGATTAAATGATTATAAATAATTACGGTAATTACCACCAAATCTGACGTTATCTAATTTAAAAAAAAAAATTTAAAAAATTTCCCTTCTGGAACTTAATAACAAATAAGTAGACTACTTAACTTTCGATCTGGCTAGTAGGTAAGCGTATAAGCAAAAACTAGTGCTTGCCTCCACTTCTAGTCTATTAGTCCCCCCCTGCCTCTTCTAGTTTGCCAGTTGGAAGAGAAGGAAAGGCACTAATGAGCAGAAAACGACGTCGATCACTGCCAAGGAGAGGTAGACAAGGCCCAAGAGGAATAGAAGGATGTGTCTTGATATTACTAATCTACCCTCTTAGCCTTTTTCTTTCATTTCCTGCACGCGCTTCAAAGTTAATCTTGATGATGATGAGATTGGTGGAGAAAAGGAAAGGCAATTTGATGGTTTAGAATTGGGGACGGTGGGAGGATTAGATGTGGGATCAGGGATGGGTAGTGGGCTGGCTGCCCTGCTTTGATGGTGACCCGCCCACCTCCACCTCTGCCCTAATTGGCATTTTGCCGTTTTCTCACTAAAAAATGGGAATTCATCATCTCATACGTTGTGGTTGGAGTAGGCATGGTGTATGATATATACACAGTCGTCCGATTTGTGATAAGAAAGATAAATCAAATGAGCAGTCAAATTTTGTTTTGTTTATTGTACATCCTCTTGTTCAGCTATAATTTATCAGTATTTGTGTGAATAAAGAATCTGGCTTTTTCCTGTGTAACGTGCTGGGCAGTTGTGACTTGTGCGTGCTAACTTTGCTGTAACTGGAAAGATGATCGATCAGGAAAAGGAGGGGAAACGATTTTTGTCCTGAAATTATTTCTGAATCTATTTAATGGCAGCATGTGCGTTCCAGTAATTTGGTTGTTTTCTTCTAGCAATGGACGGTGGTGATGCTAGATCAGAAATCAGTGTTCTTTCTAGGAATTTCTTTGGCAGGACCTGGAAATGTTAAAAAGAAATGAAAAATATTCCTCTTCTCCACCTACCAAAGTTTGTAACTTTTGGTTTTTCTTTGACTGTTTACCTTTAATACTTACTTTGATTGGATGAAATGTTGTCATATGAAAGGTTTTTGTTTATTGCTGAAGAGCTTCAGCTGTAAACAGAATAAGAAAGGTATAGTTTTAACTTAATTCCTTAATGATTTATAGTTGAAAATTGAAACACT